AACTCTCTCTCTCTCTCTCTCTCTCTCTCTCTCTCTCTCTCTCTCTTTGTGAAAGCACTTCTTGGAGTGATGCAGCTAAATTTTGGCTTTTGACCAAGTCCTTTGTATCAACTTTCAAAGTCTCTAGGGCACTAGATTTCTCTTGCAGCTCGAGTAAACATCTATCAAGCTCATTGTATTTTTTCAGCTAGAGACTACTTCAACGAGTCCCTCTACTGAACTAATGACTTACCTTTTGTTACAACCAAGCTAAGCTTCTCTTTGGCAGTGGCAGACTTGATCTTTTCCTGCTCAAGTTCCATCTTTGTTTGTCTGTGTCAAACTTACCATTTGTGCACTTTCTTTTTCATTATTTACTTGGTCCAGCAATTCCCTTCTTTCATTTTTCATTCGGTTAAATTTCTCAACCAAATCAAATTCCCTTTTTTTTTCATAATTGAGTAACTCATCATGAACCATACCCAAAATACTTCCATATTCAATATTATCTGACAACCTGACATCTTGTGCTACGTATTAGGGTTGCAACTTGGGTAGGCCCAACCCGAGCCCAAACCAACCCAACCTGGATTTTTACACAGGTTGGGATTGGGTTTTTGGTCCTTGGGCTGAGCTTGGGCCCAAGAAGTTGGGTTTTTTATTTTTCGGGTTGAGCTCAGGCCTAGCCCTTAGGTAGCCTGAGCCCGGCCTAATTATATACATTTATACATACATATTTACATATATATATATATACATACATATTTGAATAGATATTTTGCATACATATTTATATACATACATAAATATATGAATATATATTTGCATAAATACATTTATATATGTGTAATTTTAGAGTGGGTTCATTGACCAACCCGAGCCCGGCCCGGGCCTGGGTCCGAACCCAACCCAAGTGCATTGAATTACAAGGCGGGCTGGGCTCGGGTTGGGAAAATCGAGCTTGACCTCGAGCTCGGGCCTTAAGCCCAAAATTTAGGGTCGGCCCTGGGTTGACCATAAACCCGGCCCAACCCGCTTGACTTGCACCCCTACTACGTATTACCTGGTTAGGAGGGTGCTTCATTAGATTTTCGCATGTTAACTAATGCATTATCAGGAGAACATAAACTATATGTTCCAACAGGTGATAATACAAATTCCCGTAGGTTATATAAATGTTATACAATTAAATTTGGGGGTTTGGTTCTAATCTTTGCTTTTTATATATTCAATTAGGTAAATATTATCTTGTGGATGCTAGATTTGCTCTAAAGCCTGGATTTTTAAGACTGTATCATTGCACAAGGTACCATCTTAAGGAATGGGGTACACACCAACCTGAGAATCCAAGAGAATTGTTTAACCTTCGTCACACATCACTTAGGAATGCAGTTGAACGAATCTTTGGTGTCCTTAAGAAACGTTTCCCAATCTTGGTCTCTGAACAACATTACCCATTCAAAACTTAAGTGAAGATAGTGTTTGCATGTTGCATATTACATAACCATGTCATGGGGGTGAATCCATATGATCAAATCATGTCTCAATTTGACCATGAGGGGGGAAATGCAGATGATGGAGATGAATCATATGATGGGATGGATATCCAAATATCTCAACCATCCTAACGCATCAACAGAAATGAACAAAGTAGATAAGGGAACCAACTCAGAGAAGAGAGAGCTAACCAAATTTGGGTAGATTACTAAGTGCCTCGGTCTAAGTGTCGAAATTAATTTCAGTGTGCGTGTGGTTTTTTTTTGTTATCTGGGATCTTTGTTGAACTTGTGTTATTAAATGTAGTCCTATATAGAATTTTAATAGTATGATCTTCTACATTTGGGTTGATGATTTTAATAGCTTATATTAGTACATTTATTTTGAGCTATTGTATTTGTTATCATGATTGTAATTGTTTGATAGCATGTTATGTTGTGTTGGATGTTTGAAATAAATGATTGAACTATGCTTGATTGATTTGAGCCAGCAATGAATTCTGTACCTTCTCAAGATGATGCTAGATCCACTGAGCCCAATATATATTGGACCACGAACATGGATAACTTGTTAATAGAGACCCTCGTTGAGCAAGCAAACCTTGGAAACAAGGTACACAAGAGCTTCAAGGCTCCAACATATAATGTTGCTGCTATGGCCATAATCTTGACACTTGGGGTGGAATTCACTTGTAACAACGTTAGAAACCGCTTGAAAACAATCAAGAAAAATTTCAGCACCATTTCAAACATCCTTAACTCGAGTGGTTTATCTTGGAATGACCTTACAATGACTGTAGATGCAGAGCCTCAAGTATGGGCAGAATACATCCAAGTAAGGTTCAACTAGTGTTTTTTTAATGTAGCAAAGCTGACATATTTGATTATATTATGATATTAATGGAATGCTTTATAAAAAAATGACTTGGCACACCATGAGGCAAAGCAATTTAGAAAGAAAGCAATCAATAACTACAATTAGTTTGCTATAGTTTGTGGTAATGATCAAGTAATCGGGGTTGGAGATTTTACTGCTAGAGAGGCACTTAAATGGGAGGCAATAACATCAATGACTCCCAATAACACACAAAGAATGCATAAGCTAGCATACGAGGAGTTGGATGAGGGAGAAAAATGCCGATGATTCTAGCCTGCAAGTTAGGGCACCAAAAGAGGGTAGCTCTGCTTAAGGAAGGAACTCATTAGGGAAAAGGAAAGTCATATGCTAGCTAGACCTGTTCATGGGTTGGGTCGGGCTTTTGCTCTTCATTAACAGGATTTTTTCAGGCCCGAGCTTGAGCTCGTCCCGACCAACGGGCCTACAACTTGGGCCTGAGCTTGGCCCTCATAGAAAGCCCGAAGCTTGGGCTCGAGCCCGAAGCCCGACATGGCTTGTATAGAGTTGAGAAATGCATTACAGACTACAAACTATATAGTAACAGAGGTTGAAATGCATGATTTGTACAAAGTTGAGAAATGTAGGACTTACCGTCGGAGAGAGGGGCGACTAAGTTCACTGGTGGCGTGGCTAGCGCCAATGCTTGAGTTCGCTGGTTCCTGAGAATATGCGACAATGAGTGAGAATGAGAATTGCGAGAGAGGTGAGAGAGAGAGAGATAAGATAGGGGACTGAGCTCGTCTGTCGCCTCTGAGACTGGGAACAGTGGCTGCCTATCTAGGTTCGCACCGGTTCTTGAGAGTGAGAGTGAGGAGATAAGATAGAAGATGAAAAGAGGGAATAGGAAAGGGTTATTCGACCAGGGTTTAGAAGAAACAAATGTCAGGCTGGGCTGGGATGGGATTTTGTGACAAATCCCGAGCCTGCGGGCTAAAATCCATGTGCAAGCCCGTCCGGGGGTCAAGCCAGGCTGGGCTGGCTTGTCGGGCTACCCAGCCCATGAACATGTCTAATGCTAACATTGTTTCTGATGAAGTGAAAATAATTGCTTGTAGCATATATACACTTGCAAATGCAGTTGAGAAGACCATCTCTCTCTTAAAGAAGGACAAAATATTTGAGGATGTATACGACCTTAGGGATGAACCCATAATTCCTCATCAAGGCCAAAGATTTTCTATCTCAGCCATAGAATAGGGCAATAGCATTTTATGCCCTCGGTCCTGAATCGAGGAAAACATGGTTGGACATGAAATTTGCATTTGAATACTAGATTGGACTTAGTCTTCTTATTAGACTTTGATAAACACATAAACTGATTGGATATCCATTGCATCATTTTGTTCCTATCTTTTTGGGATGCATTGGATGTTGTTTGATATAGTATATAGATATATACATGGTGATGGTGATACAAACATATACATGGACATATGGTATTGTGATTGGTTTGTGATATATCACTATTTGAAGTTTGTTGCAACTTAATAGATGATATACATATATAGTTTTTTTGTGAATTTATGAACTCGCTCACAGGTTTATTAGCATTGGTTTAGTGAAACCAAACATCTTGTAGCTTGAATATGACATATTTATAGGTTTAGCTATAGTGGTGTTTAACCCACTACGCTTGGTGGTTATTATTCACATTTTGCCATGGTGGTGTTTGATTGTGAAATTATGATCTTGCTCACAGGTTTATTAGCCTTGTAGTTTGAGTATGACATATTTGCAGGTTTAGTTACAGGACGAGATGCATTGGATTTAATCCATTCACATCTTGCCATGGTGGTGTTTGATTGTGAATTTTTGATCTTGCTCACAGGTTTAACGAAATATGTATTTATGTCTTTATAGATAAATACTACATCGTGTTCAAAGGTTGATGACGAAAAATCTATTTCACGTGAGTAGAGTATAATGTCCAAGTGCATAGGTTTAGTAGAGTTTTTTTTTTTGCTCGTATAACACCTATAAAAAGAGTATTTCAGTTGCAACAGTATCCGTGCAATATATATTCAATACCCCAACACCCAATAGTTGGAAACACCTCTAGGGTCTATGTAGAGAATACTGACACGGAGGTGAAGGCATCAAAAGAACCTCATTCGTAATGTAATTTTTGTATTGATTATCAGTTCGATGGTTATGCAGATATTATACTTGTTTAAATGATGATTTCAAATATTTGGTTGTTATGAACCGATGGAATTATTTTGTTAATTATTACAGTAGGCTATATCTTTAATACATACGAGTTTTTATTTGTGCTATATCAACATGACATGTGGCAATGTTCAAATACTATTATGCTATGTCATCCCAAAAACAAGTATTGTATTGTCGAATCAGAGATTACATGGATCATTCGTTAATATAAAATGAATTCGTTAATCAAACATTAGAAAGTAGATTTAATAGGATAACTGGATTCAGCACCAAACACAACTGACAGAATTGAATCTTCCGATTTCACATCTGGCCACACAAGCGCATCTCAGCGTGCATTTAGAATCTTCCAATGTTGTCAGTGGGAGATGTTCTCCATACACTATTGTGATTATGCTCTGGGGCGCAGATGTGAATTCCCAAATCCCAAATGAAAAACACTCGTAGTCTCGTATAAACCCTACTTCAACCCCCCCCCTCTCTCTCTCTCAAGTCTCAACTAAACCCTAAAATCGTAAAAGCTATATAAATCCTCCACTCTTCAGCAAGTTCGGTCCACAGTCTACACTCCGCACCTCTACTTCAAGGAAAAACCTTCCTCTTCATAAATCATTTTCTTCTCTGTTCGAAGTCGTATGAGACCTCCAAGAGGTAAACTGGCCTTTTGGTTTGTTCAATCACTTGGTTTCTACGTTTGGTGTTTTATCGAAAATTTTCTCTGCATTGATTAACAAGATTTTCTAAATTCAACGTTGTTTTTTTTCCTATTTATGGTCGACTTTCAGGCCGCGGTGGGGGTGGGTTTAGAGGCCGGAGTGATGGAGGGAGAGGAAGAGGCAGAGGTGGTGGCGGAAGAGGTGGAGAGGGTGGCGGCAGAGGTCGTGGTGGTGGTCGCGGCGGTGGCCGGGGCGGCGGACGTGGTCGCGGTGGTCGTGGCGGTGGAATGAAAGGTGGAAGCAAGGTCGTCATCGAGCCCCATAGACACGAAGGTGTTTTCATTGCTAAGGGCAAAGAAGATGCTCTTGTTACGAAGAATATGGCCCCTGGTGAAGCAGTTTATGGCGAAAAGAGGATTGCTGTGCAGGTAAATCCGATTTCACGTTTTAAAGAGGAACCCCAGTAGATGTGAGGGAAATGTAACTTGGTTGGATGTGAAATTAGTACCAATTTATTGAATATGCTTCCACTATTGATTCGTCTTATTTTCTTTACAAACTTTTGCTTATTAGAATGAAGATGGGTCGAAGGTTGAGTACAGGGTTTGGAACCCCTTCCGCTCGAAGCTGGCAGCTGCCATTCTTGGTGGCGTTGATAATGTCTGGATTGTAAGTGTTCTCTCTTGTGCATGTCGACATTTTTCAAATGTTATCCTAAATGCTTTGTTGTTTCACCCTTTTATTTAATTATTTATTTATTATTGATTTCAATTGTTTCCTGTATTATTTATGAACGGTGTGATTTATTCATTCCTTTGAATGTTTTTATTCAAGGTTCCTGGGTCTCGGGTTCTCTACCTCGGTGCTGCTTCAGGAACGACGGTCTCACATGTCTCTGACATTGTTGGACCTGTAAGTGGAGATTCTGTTTAATATTGCAGTGCTTGTTTTCTATTGTCTACTCTAAAATAAAAGCATATTTTCCATTTTTTTCAAAATTTGAAATTTTCGTTTGTTTGCATGATGATAGACCGGAGTTGTATATGCCGTGGAATTTTCTCATAGAAGTGGTAGGGACTTGGTGAACATGGCGAAGAAGAGAACAAATGTTATACCTATCATCGAGGATGCTAGACATCCTGTCAGGTATCGAATGTTGGTTGGCATGGTCGATGTCATTTTCTCCGATGTTGCTCAGCCAGATCAGGTATATTAATCATATGTTCCATCTTTATCCATTACTTGTTAAATTCATATAATATTCTCCACTGTAGTAGTTCTATTGTTTTATTCAGAATGAAGAGTCCCCATAAGAAATAAACAAAATGGTACTTAGTGCTAAAGATAAAAAAGTAATATGGTATTGGTTATTTATGATATATGAATTTTAGATTATGTATCTCTAAGATTTTTAGTTCAGTGCTCTGCATGTTTTTGTGTTATGTAGAATTATTGCACCAGCACTTGATTAATTTCACTTCCTGCTTGTTGTCAAGTTACAGAACATTTTATATGTAAAAATGGACTTTTTTAATGGCATAAATTTTATCACATTTTCAGGCTTAATTAATCCCATTATGTATATTTGATTTTTGAACAGTTTTTCTTAATATTTAAAGCAACGTTTGGTCACTTTGGGAAGATACTTGAGAATCATGTGGTGCACACATTGTAAATGCTCGAAGGTTTACACTCTAGTAGATGTTAAAATGTTATCAAGTCCTTTTGAGTTGATTTTCTTGTTTTCAATGGTAATTTTCCCGTTTTTTGATGTTGGTGCCCAAGTCATATTTCTGAATTCTGTTATTTACATTCAGTGAAGCATACAGAATGATGAGTCCATTTTCTTTACTTAGCCCATTCTCTTTGATGCATGAACTGCTGTTTCAATATCAAGAAAATGATGAAATTACTCGGATTCCCCTTCAAGACATTATGTATGATGTAGAACTCGAGTTTCTGATGCAAAAATGTTAAAATTGTCAGTTATTGCTTTTGTTCCCAATTGCCTTTTTCCATTTTCTTTGCTTTTCTATTCTTTTCTTAAGAATCCTGTGTTTAACACATTGTAGAATGTCGAAAGTTTCCTTCACCATCTTTAAATGTTTTCAAATACCGTGATTTGATTTTTTTTTGTTCTTTATGAGTATTTTTCTTCTTTCTGGATCTTGATGACACATCCCTTGCGGTTATGTTGTATTGCTGATTTTTATCAGCATTCAGTGTAGCATACTAAATGATGCAAGAGATCCATTCTCTGAATTTTCTTCATGCTTCTGAAATCAGGCAAATGATGAATTACTCGGATTCCCCTTCAGGACATTTTGGGTGATGTACGACTCGAGTTTCTGATGCAAACATCTATTCAACTTTAAAAGTTGTGATGATTGTTTTTCTGGTTTGCTTTTTTTTTGTATTTTCATGTTATTTAATTTTTATAATTCTAGTATATTATTCTATTCAATGTCTTTGAAGTGTCTTGGAGGTCTTTGTCTTTTTCTTTGATTGCTATTGGATGGTAAAGCATGAAAGGTAAGGGATCATCTATGCTGAAATCGCCTTCTTGTAAACAATTTTTTGGCCTTCTTCCTTGTTTGTTACACTACTGGTCTAAGGCCTGAAAAAGGAGGGTTATGTCAGGTTTGTTGCCAGCATAAAATCCTTTAACCAATCCAATGTGAAGATGAACCCTGAATCATTTTGCAATTTGAGCACGATGCCCGAATAGGATTTGTTTAAATGAGACCCGAAATTGTTTCTTTTACCATATCCTATTTATTTTCTTATTGAAAAGCTTCACAAAGCATTTGAGATGCTATTTTACCTTGTCAATTGCCATTCCTTGCTAATATTTATTATCATCTTTCTTTTTTGTACTTGGATTTTGAGTCACATCTTACCTGTGCCAAAGTGTTTATCCCTCTTTGCTTGTGTTTGTTGGAGTTGTATATGCTATTTCATCAACTTGGAAGAACATATTGGATAACAAAGGCTGCAAAATCAGTGATTTTCTCATGGGCCTTATTATTGGATGGTTTTAAAGTGCATTCCTTGAATAAAAACTCCCACAAAGTTTCTATTTGGGATTGGTGGTTATTAATGATCAAATCCAATATGAGCTTCGTACACAATTTCTATGGTACAAGAAAGGCATGCTACTCGAAAAACTTCAACCAATCAGAAACCCACAAGAATCTGGAATACCAGTTGACTGGTTGATGATTAGATGATAGCTGATCATTGGTTATTTTACGATGAATTTTCAGTAGCATAGTCGGACTCATGATAGTAACTATAGTCTATTGTCAGTGATCAGTGCATGTATTTTTTATCTGTTGAATGCTTTGTTTGGACAGGTATCTTTCTGTGCTTAATTCAGCTTATAACTTGGAGAATGTGTATTTTCTCTCTGGTTAATTCAGCTTTTAAGCAACAATGAAAGTAGCACGCAGCCATGCAGGCCTCAAAATCTGCATTGGCTATTTGGTTTATTTGATAGTTTCTTTATTTACCTGACATGATTCCTCTTGTAGGCAAGGATACTAGCACTTAATGCCTCGTATTTCCTGAAGAACGGAGGCCATTTTGTCATATCAATTAAGGTCTGTTCTTTTTGATCTTTGCTACATCCCTCCAGCCACTGTAGAAAGTTCAAATCATGATATAGTACTTGAGGTTATACTGTTTTTTTTGAAAGTTTTCTTTCGCATCTCATCGTATGTAGGTTGAAGTTGAATATATATTTTGTTCTTGTTTTTAGGCAAATTGCATAGATTCAACGGTTCCTGCGGAGGCAGTGTTTGCCCAAGAAGTGAAGAAATTGCAAGCGGATCAGTTTAAACCATCTGAACAAGTCACACTTGAGCCTTTTGAAAGAGACCATGCTTGTGTAGTTGGTGGGTATAGAATGCCAAAGAAACAGAAGACTGGTGCATAGTTTTATTGTATTGCTAATTTTTGTCTCGGAACGTCGTGTATTAGTAGTCATTCGAGACTTCCCTCGCTAGTTTTGAAAACACTAAATGATTTTTACATGTTAATGAGTGGTACTTTTCAGCCGTGGGCTTTCGTATAGAATTTTGAATTGCAATCAGATTTATTGATTAGAATAAATAAATTAAAATTAAATGGTCATATATCATGAATACAGGTTCACAGTATTGATATTGTTGTATCTTTGGGGTCACCGAAACTGGAGTGTAGGACATCTGATCACTTCTGAACGTTAATACCCTTCCTTCAGATGGATAGGTGTTGTATATCAATCAATACGTTGAACTATACGAGAACAAAATATGTTTAAAAATAATTTTTGTGGAAGTTTAAGCAATTATCCTTTATTAAAAACGCTACATTCATGCTGAAGTCTCACTTTGTTGGTATAATATGAATTGTAGATATGCAATAAATCAAAGTAAATTGGACTTGTGTCAGGTTGGATGGTGGTGGGTTTATATTCCTCCTGATGAATGGATTGATTTCAGATAATCTTTAATTGCAGAAATGGATTGAATTCGGATCATCTTTAATTGCAGAAATTTTTATCCCTGCCGTGTACTATAACACAGATTCTTTTATCACTTTGCCCACTTGGATGGGTATTATTTATACAAATTAAGTTACTTGCCCACAATGTAAGTGATATCTTTCATGGACTCCATATAAATTTATAAAAAGAATATCGATTTTTCAGTTAATAGGAATTAAAATTTCATTGATTAACTTTTCCCTTTCCAATAGAACCTTATTGACTTCTTTCTATCTCCATACCTTCCATAACTGACTAGCAAGAATTTAGGTATAAATGAAAGACTTGCAAGAATTTAATAACAAAATGCAATGATCGCTATAAGTTTTATTGCATGCTTGGTAGTAATTTCTATGAACCAGCTTCATGTTTGGCAAGCAAAGTGCCAACCGGTTGGTTAGTAATTAGCGATCATTGCATTTTGTTATTAAATTCTTGGGATCAAATCCTGTGTGCACCATGGTTGGGGGTTATGGGTTTGGGGATGAGCAACCCCTGGTTGTGTAGCCCAATGATGGTTAAAATTGTAAGCAAAGTCCAAAGCATGTTGGGACTAGATGACTTATTGGTCCTGTGTGCGGGGACTAGATGCAATCTCGGTTACAGTATGGGCAATGAATGCCATTTGCTGAATGCGGTATTAGGGGTGGCAAATGGGTGGATTGGGTTGGGTAAGGGTTGAATATCAACCCATCCATATTGACCCACCAACCCACCATGACCCATCATCAATTCTTGTTAAAAGGTCATAACCCACCTGACCCACCCATATTGATCCATTTGATCCATTCATATTGACCCTTAACCACCCTCACCTATACTAACCCACCTACCATCACCTATAAATACAAAAATGGGTCGGGATGACCCATATACTCAAAAATAATAACTTTGGAGAGAGTAATCTCTCTCTGCCATGTGATAAAAATGAGGTCAACTCGCATACCTGAAAAATGCAAAAATTGTAGACAAATGCAAAAAATAGTAGAGAATTGCAAAAATTATGTAGAAAAGCACAAAAAATTGTAGAAAATGCATAAATTTTATAAAAGTGCTTTTGCAAAAGAACTTTTGTTAAAGTGCTTTCATAAAAATACCTTCGTAAAAGCACTTTAAAAGTGCTTTTATGCTTTCATAAAAGTACTCTCATGTAAAAGTAATTTTGTAAAAGTGTTTTTATACTTTCATAAAAGTACTTTCATAAAAGTATTTTCGTAAAAGTGCTTTCGTGTAAAAGTACTTTCATAACTTTACTTTTATAAAAGTGTTTTTGTGTAATGGTACGTTTGTAAAAGTGCTTTCGTAAAAGTCCTTTTTATAAAATAATTTATAAAATTGTTTTTGTAGAAGTGCTTTTGTGTAAAATTGAATGTGAACATGAAAGTTAATAAAATCTATTTTATTTCACTTTTAACCTCAAAATGAAATGTGGCATGGTGGTTTTGAATTGTAATGAGATGTAAACATGTTAGGAGGTCTAAGTTCGAGTAAGTTCAATTACTATTCTTTTTTTTTTTAGATTTGGTGAGTATAGATAGAGTTGACTTTGACCCAACCCACCCCAACCCTTTTCCACTAACCCTAATGGTTTGCTCAACCCATATTGACCCACCAATAGTCTGGGTGGGTTCCAAGGTGGGTGGGTTAAATGGGTCGGGATCAAGATTGCTAGCCCTATGGGGAACAACCTACAATACTACTCAAGGGAACAAAGAGGCCAAATCTTAAATGAGACCTGATCTAGTCCCAACTAGGGCCCCAACAACTGGTCACAACAGCCTTTGCATCTGTACATCATGGAACATACCCTTGTCCTTCATGGCGAGATATTCCCAATGTACAACTGCAAAAGTTGTTCTGTTATGTCAGGTTGTTGCAACCCTACGTTGGGCTCTGATCTGAACACATAAAAAATGTCTTCAAGGATATTGCATGTTAAAAGAGTAAAGGGATTTACCAGTTTCTGATGTTAGGTCTCATGGAGATCGGCTTCGGTCAGGGCAAGTCCATGCTCACACCCTGGCGAACAGTCTCTTGCAACCTTGCATCAGGAAATGGCACATATAAATGCAGTGATATTCCCAATGCAAGGTTGTAAAGGCTGTTGGAATGAACATTACCTTAATCGAAGCCGAACTCGGTCTCATGTTGGAGATAGAGATGCAAACGGATCAATTGGATTCAAATATGATCTGTCTGACATTGTTAATGTTAGATCCAATCCGATCCAAAGATCCAAACGGATTTGATAGGACTCGATTTGAATTCGAATCCTATTGGTAAGTTGGATCTTCGAACTTGATTCAATCCAACTTGTATTTTTTAAAAGTTAATAAATTATTAAAAGAAAATTAAAATACATTAATTTAAATAATGTAAAAACAAAGAGTATAAGTATTTTTAATTATTTTCATCGTATATATACATGTTTTTTTATAAAAAAGATAAATAATCTAACAAATTTATAAAAATATAATATAAAAAATATATTTATAAATAAATAAATAACATATATATATGTATTATATATTTATATTATAGGATTGAATCTTCTCGAATATATAATATATAAATAAAGTTGGGGTCACATCTTAAATAGAAGAGGCAAGGATTTGTGACTGTTAATTTTTTATCAACGCTTGGATGGTTGACAAATAAAACTAGATGACACTTGAAGGTCACTTGTGTCTTTTTCAAGTGCCACTTAATGACTGATTAACAATTGGTTAACAACATGTACTGGATTGACATGATTTGAAAGTTCAGTACCGAATTGTCATATTTTAGAGTTTGAGGATCAAAGTGGCACTAGGCCCAAAGTACAAGGTACTAGTCAGGAATTTTCTCATTTATTTATTTAGAGATGACTCAATTGTTATCATTACATTCATATATTTATAAAATTAAATAATAATATTAATTTAAAACAAAAGAGTTGTTTTATGAATTTCATTCGTGAGAATTAATTCAGATTTAAAAGGGCCAAAACATGTAACTAGGGCTGTTCACGGGTCAAGTTGGGTCGGTTTACTGATGTTTTTCCAACCAATCCGACCTGGTCGGGTTGCCTAAAGATGAAACCGAAACCGACCCTGTACTAAGAAAAACCGACCTGATCGGTTTGGGTCAGTTTTGTGATATTCAAAGTATCTTTTGGCCTTAAAGATCCAATATCAAGAAAAGAGGTAATTGTTCAAATCAACGCCTATATTAAAAAAAGAGGTAATTTTGTTTTTATTTCTGCTCCCTTTTAAAGTTTAATGGGTAATGGCTCAGTGATGGTAGTCAGAGTTCTTTGTTTGTTTCAAATTTCGGATTTTGAATGCAAAACGATGGATTTTTTTTCTTTCTTTTTCTTGTTACATGTAATAACGATGAAAATCAATGGCTTATTGCGTTCTATTGTATATGAATGTCCTCCATGAGAAGAAATCAATGTGTCTAACCTAACTGCTGATTCAAGTTGGGTCAGACTGAGTTGGTCGGTTTGATGGATTTGAATCTTGTTATGAATATCTGTACGTGTAACGAACCTATTCAAAACCACTTTGATCTTGGACCGAATTGGATCCGGGTCCGATTGATATGAGGGGTCGAGTTAGATACTTTGATTAAATGGATGGGATCTGGAACTTTTTTTTTTGGAGTTTTTAATGCCCCTGAGTTGGATGCCAAACCCTTTGCTTGTGGCATCTGAACAAACTGAACTTTTCTTTATATGTTTTTTTTTTTTTGAAAAAGAAAAAAACTTAAATTATTGATTTGAAAATATGTACATCTAGTCCTTTGAGGGTAATAGAAAGACCAATTCTGAACCCCCCTCCTACATGCTAGCTACTTCATGAGCTAACATATTTTGTTGTTTATTTACATGCTTAACTGTACATAAACTCATCTGAATACAATTTATTGACCCAGTTGCAATCTACAGTATTGCTTATATCACTCAAGAGGGTCTTATCTCCCTTGCGTTGTGATTTTATTATTGCATTACAGACTCTTCTTTTCTACTCCCCAAAAAAAAATATCAATATTTTTTATAATAATATTACACCAAATCATCAAGAAAATGAATCAGGGGTTGAATCCAAATTTGAGATTAAGGGGTGAAGTGACATCTGCAAAATTAATGCTTTGGTAAATAAAATATTGCAATCGATGATATCGTCCCAATTCATTAAGTAGAGAGACCAGGCTTACATTAAATATTCAACGAGACACGGGTTTAAAAGATTGAGAGAGAGCTAAGGGATAGAGAAAATGTGTGATATGAATTAAATTATAATATTTATAAGGAAAAATTTATATATTACATCAATTTTCATACAATGTATTATAGATTTTGGCCTAGCTATAACATTAATTTTTTAGATATTTCAATTAGGTAAAATAAACAAATTAATTTAGAAATAAAAAAATAATTTTACAATTACAATTAATAAATAAATTTTTTAGTAAATATATTAAGTGAAATTAAGTAATTAAGTTAGCATACATTTTATAAGTGCATTTTACAATTACATTGTTAATGGGATTTAATCAATAGCTATTCAAGGAAAATGTTCCCTAGCTCAAAATAGGCTATAATAGAGATATTGGCATTTTTATTTTGGATCATCTAATTTTAGTTGATTTGTTTATAAGATGCATCCACGGTTGGCTCTATATATTTATAAAGTAATTAGGTTATATATTTTTCAAAATGCCATTTGACGTAAAAAAGGCTTTTCTTTCTAATAATATTGAATTATATAGATATTGTTTTTGGCATAATTTTATATAATTTCTTTAAAACTTTTATATGATGTGAGTTTCAAAATTTTCAACTAAACCATGGGATCATTAAATATTTTTCTTAATAACATAAAATTTCAGAAAAAGCGATATCTCTACTAGAAAAAAAATTTGGGAAATTTTCCGATTAGTACTTTGGGCCTAGTGCCACTTTGGTCCGTGAACTTTAAAACACGACAACTCAATACCTGAACTTTCAAAACGTGTTAATTGGCATTTGAAAAGACATAAATGCCTTTCGAGTGTCATTTAATTCTATTTATCAGCCATCCAAACATTGATAGAAAATGAACAGCCCCAAATCCTTGCCTCTTCTATTAAAGAAATTTGGGGTCACTAAGTCACTAGAATGCCCAACTTTCTTGAATAGAAGAGGCAAGGGTTTTGGACTGTTCATTTTTTGTCAACATTTGGATGCCTTATAAATAGAATTAAATGACTCTCAAAGGACATTTATATCTTTTCAAATGCCACTTAATAGCTAGTTAATGGGATGGTTAACGGTAGGTATTGGATTGGCACATTTTGAAAGTTCAAGTACTGAGTTGTCACATTTTAACGTTTTGGGACCAAAGTGGCACAAAGTAAAGAGTACTAATTGGGAATTTTCCCAAAGTTTGTTTTGCTCATGCTCCCCTTCCCTTCTTCCTCTTAACTGGTCAATTGTTATACATCACTTTGATAAAAAAAATAGTGCTTTCTAGCATATATATATATATATATATATATTAGTTAATTTAGTGCTACGTCAGATGGCCTCTTTGTAGGTGTTTGGTACAGTGGTCAGACCACGATATATTGCATTTGAAATGCACTACAGTAAGTTAAGGTGTTCGGTTGACCTGTGGTGTGGACTGATCCACACAATCTCGTGGATTAGTGCACACCACAAGCCAATTTCTCATCCACATGTTTTTGTCGTGGATTGATCCACATTACTGCGGAATTTTTTTATCAAGAATGGTCCCATGCTTCACATGGTATGTTTTACCCAATTTATCTCACATTTTTTATTAATGTTTTCGAACCACCGTTGATTCGTACGGTCGAACCATTTGACTTGAGAACAGTCCAGGCAACCAGTTCCATTTTACCCCAAACTCAACCTCTGGCCAAAAACCGTTGAATTGGTCAACAACTTGTTGACCTAGGCGATTGAACCATTGACCATTTTAACCCATTCAATAATTTTTAACCATTTTTATCATTTTAATTAGTTTTTTATATATTTTTTTAATTTTATTGTCAGACCAGTCCATTTGTTCGAACTAGACGGTCGAACCGTCAACCTGGGAACCAGTGGCCAAAATGGTTCTAGTTCTGGGTCATTTTTTAAAAATTGTTTTTATTATCTATAGGGATGAAAACAAATCGGATCGAATTCGAATTAGGGTATATTCGAGTCTGATCCTACACTGTTCATGGCAGATCCAATCCGATCCAAAGAGTCGATTGGATCCGATAGGCAAGAATTTGAATTTAAATCCGATCGGAAAGTCGGATATTTGGATCTGATCTGATCCGATCTGATTTGTTTTCTTTAAAAATTAATAAATTATTAAAAGAAAAATATACCAATTTAAATAAAGAAAAACAAAAAAATACAAGTATTTTTTAATTATTTTCATCATATATATACTTGTTTTTTGTAAAAAAAATAAATAATATAACAACTATACAAAAATACAATATAAATAATATATTTATAAATATATATATATAACATATATCAGATTGAATCTTCTTAGATTGGATAGGGGTGATCCAAATCTGATTCGAAGATTCGAACAGGGGTGATCCGAATTCAACCAAATAGGATTGGAGCTCGGATCGGATCATGATCCAATCCATTTGAACCCCTAATTATGTATGTTTTTATGTATTTTATATTTGAAAATATTTTTTGAACTTTTTCCTTTTTTCATGTCTAAATATTAAAATGGTAATATATTAACACCTGTTAGTCTGTTTAACATCAAGTTAGTGACATGGTGAGTTTTAGACATTTTGAAAAGTTGTGGTGAGTTTAAGAGAAATGTTGAAAACTCATGGTGAGTTTTGGACAATTTCCCTTGTTTTAAATTTATTGATGGTTAATAAATTCATTAAGTTCATATTAATACCATTAATATCTATGTGAATCTAAAAATTAGCCCATCCCCACCCGTGCGATGTATGGGCTTTGTTAAAAGAATTTGAGGCAAAATGACTTAGGGGTGCAACCTTGTGGCCCCAACTTGAGCCCAACCTGGTTTGTGGTGGGGCACCCTCTCCCATCCCCACTCTGTAGCCAAAATCCTTTACCCCATCCCCACTCCATCCTTGGTGGTGAGGTAGGTAGAGGTGCAAATTGGGTCATGCCGGTCAGCATGGAATGACTTTGTGGGTTGTGTTGCATTGGCCCGTAGGCCTACATGGGTCGTGCTTTCCTCCTCTAGGATCCTTAATAGGTTAGACCCGACACAACCCATGGCACAAGCCTAGGTAGGCCTAGGTCAGGCCATGTTGTACCGCGGGCTAGGCTAGGCCTAAACTGGGCCTTGGGCGAGGCTTGGTATATTGCAATCTGATTTACACCTCTAAAGGTAGGACACCCCTCTCTATTAGGAATGGGGAATTCTTGGATTTTCCTAGGCTCTCAAGGCAACCACCTAAAAATACATCAAATTTTGGAGATATTTTAGAAATTAATATTAGACATTGGGTTATTTTAATAATATACCATCAAGTTAAGGGGGATTATATGCAAACCTGTTCCCACCCCATCCCCATTTAAGATTGAGGGAAACATGCCCCATTTAGGGTGGGGTAGAGTGGGGCCCCAATTTTATGGAGAAAATTGTCAATTCTATAAATTCCATTTAAAATAAATGAAAATGAATAAAATCTAATAAAATTAGTAAAAGTCAAAAGGAATTTATTTAACATAATAATAATAATAATAATAATAATAATTTGATAATAATTCATCTAGAAATAATAAAAATTAGTAAACATTAATATAAAATTAATACAAGTTTAATGATCCAAAAATAATGTTATTTTTGAAGGCAAATAATGTTTGGATTATACTTTGGTGTACTTTGCTCAATTGAAATTGTCATAAGGTCTTTCAACTTACATTTTGTTTAACAAAGCCCGTGCATCGCACGGGGCTTATTTAGTTGAGTATTAAAAAAAAGATTTTTAGATACCAAGAAAATAGTATTCAACTATTTAAATTATGTTTCCATCAATCGGAACAAAGAAAAGTCACAACTCACGATAAGACCTTCACACCCCCTTCCCCAAAAAAAGTCGTTAGGTGAGTTTACTATTTATAAAGATTTCCAAAACAAGAGGCATAATCGTAATCATAATGTAATGGAAGAAGGGCACTTTTGTAATTTGGATAGACTAAGGTGCCGCGAACGTTCGAACGAAACTCCTTCTTTAAAGGGCATTTAACCGTAGTTAGCGGACTGCGGACTCAACCCTCAAGTTCATGTAAAGGGCGGTTCGTCAGCCACAACTGAAACGCGGGGAAAAAATAATAATTAAAAATAAAAAAAGAGGAAAAACATCTGCTTAGGGTTTGACTGATAACGCAAACCGGGTTGATTGTCGGGTTAATTACCGGATTCCGGCAAGTTCGCGGGATCCCGGCGAATCTCTAATAATACGATTTGCAATTTTGGCTCTCCGGGAACCGGGTATCGATCGTGCATTTGTGGGCAAATCGGCGAGAAACTGCTTAATCCTGTAGCTTGTCACTCAGATGCAGCGAAAATGCTGTTTGGGGGGAGAAAGAGGAAGGGGGTTGTTGACGTCGGGATCAATAGACCAAAAAGGCGCCGAGAGTCGTAAAAAGTGGTTTTGAACAGCGGTTTTCCGAATCGCAAGTTCTGGTGCTTTTTGTAATTTGACCTTTTTTGTTATTTTTGAATTCGTGTATGCAATCTGGTGGCACACAACAGGGCGTTGGCGCCCCTGGACATGGACGGAATCCGGCGATGGTCCCGCCCGGCCGGTCATACTCTTCTTCGGCATCACCGTCTTCGTCTTCTTCGGCGGTTTCGGCTCCACATCGAGGGTTTGATTCGATTCAGCAGCAGCAGCAACAACAGCAGCAACTCGCGTTTAGGCAGGTGGGTGGATGCTTTGCTCATTTATATGCAGTGTGGCGGACCTGCTGGTCTCTGACTTTTTGGGAATTTGAATGTTAATATTTCTTCTCTGATGAAGAGTTCTTTCAGATTAAATTAATTAATTTTTGTTGCACTACGCTAGCACAGTTTTTTAAAGACGTTGGGAGGTAGTGAATGTTGAGTACAGTTGCTTAATTCACTATGACTCCGCGAATTGTGGAGAGCAGTTTAGTGGCTTCAGTGGTCAAATCAGGCAATTTGTCTCTTCCTGTCTTAAGAAACAGTTGGAAATTGTACCGACGCTGTTGGAAGCGATTTGGAACCTAGTATTTATAGTTGACACGGACAGGTTTCCCTGTTAGAGAATGGCTTCATCTCTCTCTCTCTCTCTCTCTCTCTCTCTCAGAGATAGGTTTCCGTGATCTAGGTTTCCATTAATTCAATTTGATGCCCCCTTTTTAAGGAATGGAAATTTTATCGTGGTTGAATCAGTGTGGAGGGGTTTATTGGTGGAAGGTTTATACAAATTCATTTTGCTACCTGCTCTTGAATTTGATTTATGTCTACACTTATAATCGGACATAAAAATATTGAATTAGGCAGGTTGTATTCCTTTCTACTTGTGCATTTGAGTGAGTGTATCAATGCGTTTTTTTGGTCATGATATTCTTGAATTTCATGATGGGTTTAAAATAATAATAATGTTTTCATCGTAATGTCTTGATATGAGGTGGGAGATAAAATCAGTTTGGGTTGTTGTGAAGTTACAATACTTTGCATGACCTGAGAGGATTTATAAAATCAATTTATGTTGTTGTGAACTTAAATAATTTGCATGACCCGAGAGGCTATATAAAATCAATTTAGGTTGCTGTGAACTTAAATCCTCTGTATGGCTTGAGAGGCTATTATTCCTAAGGTATATCGTGTACTGATTTATGAGGATGTTCTATGATGTTCCTAACGCTCTCTCTCTCTCTCTCTCATTCTATTTTTCTTATGTTATCTTTTTTAGATTAAAATGTTTCTTTTTGGTCACATACATCTGCACCCTATATTAGATCATTCTTTTGATATCAAAAGAAAAATTTATTACCAAAAATAAAAATAGAATACAAGAGCTGGAGATAAAACACCACCAAAGGAGGAGAACAAAAGGCTATGACTTATATTCACACCAACCCTAATAAAAACTCCCCAAACAACTGATTCCCAACAACACCGCCTATCAAACTACCTAATTCCATGATAAAAGGAAACAACCTCCCAACCTATCCAGCACTGAAGAACAAGAATGAAAACTACCCCCCAAAGCATCCTATATTAGATTACTGTTGCGCTGTGTGGTCTTTTCTATTGGACTCTGTGTCGTGCTTAAGTTTCTTTGATTTTTATACTAATGATTATGGCATGTAGCTATTTTTTTATTTATTGCATATCTTATTGCAGTCATTGCAACAACTTAGAAAGCCTGAAAGTGATGAAGCCCTTCTAGCATATCAGGCAGGCAGTATCCATGGAGTCATGGGTGGCAACAACTTTCCTCCATCCTCTGGCTCCATACGTTTACCTCAACAACCTAGGAAGTTCACTGATTTGTCTCAGCAACACGGTCCCTCTCAGATTTGTGGGGAGGGTCAGAATAAGGGTCACAGCCTAGATCAGCATATTCCAAGCTCAACTCATCAGGCATATGTCCAGTATGCCATGCAGGCTGCCCAGCAGAAAGCTTTTGGAAGTATCCAACAACAGCAACAAGGTAAAATGGGAATGGTGAGCCCTTCTGCTGGGAAAGATCAGGATCTAAGTATGGGCAATCTGAAAATGCAGGACCTGATGTCTATTCAGGCAGCTAACCAGGCTCAAGCATCTGTACCCAAGAAGTCAGCTGAACATATTGCAAATGGTGAGAAGCAGATGGGGAAAGGGCAGCAACCAGCTTCTGACCAAAGGGGTGAGTTGAAGCCTCTACCCCAGGTGGCAGCCATTGGACAGATGATGGCATCAAACATGGCAAGGTCTGGGCAGGCACCACAAGCTCAGCAAAGTGTCCAAAACATTGTAAATAACCAGCTTGTAATGGCCCAGTTGCAAGCAATGCAGGCTTGGGCATTGGAGCACAATATTGATCTATCTCTGCCTGCCAATGCCAATCTGATCTCCCAATTCCTTCCCCTTTGGCAATCCAGAATGGCTGGCCTTCAGAAGCCAAGTGAGAGCAATACTCAACAGACTTCATGTCTGGCTACAATGTCGAAACAACAACCTATTTCTTTTCCTCCCATTGCCAACGAGAACTCCACAAATGGGAATTCACCGAATGATGTATCTGGCCAGTTGGGCTCTGCCAAAACGAGACAATCAGTTGTTTCTGGGCCTTCTCCACCTACCATAACTGCTGAATTGGTAAATTCTAATAATACTCAGATGCAACAGGTTGCTCCTCACAGTCGGGAGGACCAGGTTCCTAGGCAGTCTGCAACATCTGGAAATGGAATGCCCCCCATGCATCCACCACAGTCTCCTCTGAATATGAGCCAGGGCTTAGATCAGTCTATGCATACAAACAATGCTATTAATGGGTCAGAGACTTCACAAATGCAATATTTCAGGCAGTTGCAGCAATTGAATCGATCCACTTCACAACCTGCAGTTCAGTCCATTGAAGGGTCAATGAGCTCTCCCCTTTCATCTCATGGTGGAATGACCCGGATACCACAACAGCGTCTTGGATTTACCCAGCAACAACTGCATGTCCTTAAGGCCCAAATATTAGCATTCAGACGCCTGAAGGTATGGAGCATCCTTTTCTTCTCTTTTTTCCCTTTCTCCTACTGACTCTTCATATGGTTTCTAATAATGATATGATATCATAAATGGATCTTGCCTTTGCGCTGTTAATTACCTTTTATTTGTGTTATTTATCAGCGTGGGGAAGGCAGTCTACCTCAAGAGGTTCTTCAATCAATTGCCCCACCACCCCTTGAATCACAGGTCCAGCAGGTATTTGTCTCCCCTCAGGTGATGGTGAGCCATGATGGATCTGCTGGGAAGAATGTTGAAGAACATGCAAGGCATTTGGAGTCTCATGAGAAAGCTTCACAGGTTGCACCTCTAAGCAAGGGTCAGATTTTGCCAGAAGGTGAACCCTTGACAGGAGAAGGGAAAACACATACATCTGCTCCTCATGCCCAAGGGGGGTTGGCTGTAACAAAGGAGCCTATTCATATGGGATCTTCTGGGAAGGAAGAAGTGCAAAGTACTACATTTTCTGTCAAGTCAGAGCAAGAAGTTGAACATGTGGGTATGAAGATTCCTGTTAAAGGTGATTTTACAGCAGATAGGGGAACTCTTCAACCTCAGGTGTCTGTATCAGATGCTATGCAAGCTAAGAAATCCAATGAAGTAAGCAGTATGCTACAGCCAAAAGATGTTAGCCCCATAAGAAAGTACCACGGACCCCTGTTTGATTTCCCTTTTTTTACCAGGAAACATGATTCCCTTGGTTCAGCCATGGTTATCAGTAACTTAGGTAATTTAAAACTGGCATATGATGTGAAGGATCTTCTATTTGAGGAAGGAATTGAAGGATTGAACAAGAAAAGGAAAGAAAATCTCAAAAAGATTGGTGGGTTGCTGGCAGTGAATTTAGAAAGGAAGAGGATCAGGCCAGATCTCGTTCTGAGGTTGCAAATTGAGGAAAGGAAGCTTCGGCTTTTGGATCTCCAGGCATGTGTAAGAGATGAAGTTGATCAACAGCAACAAGAGATAATGGCAATGCCAGACAGGCCTTACCGAAAATTTATTCGGTTATGTGAACGACAACGTACGGAGCTAGCCAGGCAAGTGCAGCTCTCTCAGAAGGTCATGAGAGAGAAGCAACTAAAATCCATCTTCCAATGGCGTAAGAAGCTTCTTGAAGCTCATTGTGCAATCCGTGATGCAAGGACAGCTCGTAACAGGGGAGTTGCCAAATATCATGAGAGAATGTTGAGAGAATTTTCAAAGAGAAAAGATGATGATCGTGATAAGAGGATGGAGGCATTAAAGAACAATGATGTTGATAGGTATCGTGAAATGTTGCTGGAGCAGCAGACCAGCATCCCAGGTGATGCTGCTCAGAGATATGCTGTTCTGTCATCTTTTCTGACTCAAACAGAGGAATACCTTCATAAATTGGGTGGGAAGATAACAGCTGCCAAGAATCAACAGGAAGTGGAGGAGGCTGCTACAGCTGCTGCAGCTGCTGCACGATCTCAGGTATGTTTTGTTCAAATTCTGAGTATTCTTTTTTCTTCCCTTTCCCAGGAGGCTGACTTTCTGTTCATTTTTTTTTTCTCTTTCTTTATTTATATAGATAGGATGTTTATCTCCATAGATATCTGGTGCATTACAAAGCATGTTTTACATGACACACACTGATATGCGTCCAACAAGTTTGTATACCCATGACTTGGTTTTTTTAATCAACTCTGGTTGTAAAATAAGTCACTTTTATTTATGACAACTGCTTGGTTTATAAGAAGTGATAAAGAGATGCTTAATGTGAGATACTGAATTTTGACTAAGGAAAGAGAACCTAGTAAGCAAATATTACATTCTATCTTCTGGAAAGTAGGCATTAAGAATGTGGATGGGATGCACGTATTTTCTAAGACCAATCACCTTTTATATCATTTTCTCTAGAAAATATTCTTCATTCCTCATTTTTTTGCACTTTCTTCTGTACAATCAAATGTGTCCTTCAAAAAGTGTATCATGTCTTATGAAGTTTATGTTGTGTAATCCACTATGTTTATTCTTATTTTAAACATTGTAACGTACAAGATTTAGAATCATATATTTCCATATATGCATACTCATTTTAAATTCTATAAAACAGTTGTAAGGCCAGTTATGTTGTATGGACTATGGAGTAGAGTGTTGGGCAGTCAAGAAACAACTTGTTCAGAAAATGAGTGGCAGAAATGCAAAGGCTAAGATGGATGAATGGAAAAACTAGAAAGGATAGGATCAGGAATGAAGCAATCCGTAGAAACCTAGGGGAATGAGAGAGAGTAGACTAAGATGGTTTGGTTACGTGCATAGAAGACCACCAACAACTGCAGTTAGAAGAAGTGATTTGTTATAACTGGAAGGGGCTAGAAGAGCTAGGGTAGACTAAAAAGGGACATGAGTAGAAGTAGTAAGAAATGATTTAAGCACTAATAATTTAACAATGGATAGGCTTTAAATAGAACAGATAGGTGAAACAGGATTCATGCTCATTCATCAAAAAAAAAAAAAGAAAAAGAAAACAGGATTCATGTAGCTGCCCCCATTATAGTTGGGATGAGGCATGGGTGATGTGTACTTATTTTTGCAAAAGAAATTTATTCATAATAGTTTTTATGTTTTTCCTACATATATATCATATTGATATTTCTACATTTTTGGGGTCTTGCCACATCTAACACTATCAACTGTGAGATGAGATACTCTTTATTGGTGAATGGGATAGTTGTTGATCATTTTCCTGCCCTTAAAGGTATTATGCAAGGGGACTCACTTTCCCCATTCCTCTTCACTTTGATTGCTAATGTTCTTGGAAGACTAATCTCGAGGGCAGACTGTAGGAACTTGGTTAAGGGTTAGAGAGTGGGTAGGGAGGATGTGCCAATCACTGACTTGCAATTTGCAGATGATACCATCTTGTTCTGTGAAGAGAGGGATGTTAGAAGGACCAAAAACCTGAAACTGGTGATTCAATTGTTTGAGAGGACGTCAAACTTAAAGGTGAATCTTGACAAGAGTTGTATTGCAGGGATAAATATGGATCACAGGGAGATATCGAACAGTGCTGAAGCTTTAGGTTGTGATGTGTCTCAATGCCCTTTGATCTATTTGGGGCTTCCTTTGGGAAAATCCAAGGAGTGCTAGCTTCTGAAATCCAATGGTGGAAAGATTTACTAAATGGTTGGATTCTTGGAAGAAAAACTATCTGTCCCTGGGAGGAGCACTTTGATTAGGTCTACTTTGGCCAATCTTCCAGTGTATTATTTGTCTGTATTCAAAATTCCATAAGGGGTGAGTGGAAGATTGGAAAATTTGATTAGGGATTTTATTTGGAGCTAGGAGAGGAGAAGAAGGATCATAGGGTTCGGTGGGATGTGGTGAGTAGAAGTAAGGAATTTGGGGGGTCTAGGTGTAGAGAATGTTCATAAAAGAAACATGGCTCTCTTGGGGAAATGGTTGTGGAGATTGCCAGATGAAAAGGATAAGTTATGGGCAAAGGTGATTGTTCGCATTCATAGGCTTGCGGCTAATGGATTGGATGCTGGGGTGTGGTCCAGAGCAACAAAAGCTTCACCTTGGAAATCTACCCATGATATTCTTTTAGTGTTCCTACCTTTCATCAAGTACAACCTTGGCTCAAGAAACCTTGTTAAGTTCTGGGAACATGTGTGGGTGGGTGAATCTCCACTGAAGGAACAATTTTCCATCTCTATTTAACCTATCCAACCTTAAGGATGAGCCTGTGTCTTCTTTCTTGTTGCTTTCTAGTTCAATCAAGTTCAGGCTATGCCTGGAATCTGGGGTTTAAAAGGGGGCTCAAGGATGCTGAATTGAGTAGTATTTCAAATCTTCTTCAGTGTTTGGATAGAGTTTTCCTGAACCCCTCAGAGGTGGATAGTAGGATTTGGTATGCTTAATCTGCCTCATTTTCATGCGCTTCATTCTTTCGGCCCTGACCCAACCCTCAGACAGTTCTGTGTTGCCCTTTTTGGTTAAGGAGGTTTGGAAAAAGCCTATCCCCCCTAGGGTAAGTGGTTTTTGTTGGGAAGTCTTTTTGGAAAGAATCAACACTTGTGATCTTCAAAGAAAGAGACAAAATTTGTGCCTTTCCCCAAATTGGTTTATCCTTTGTAAAGCTAATAGTGAGACTTCGATAAAAAATAGTGAGACTTGCTACCACTTATTAATCTCTTGTCCTTTTGTTTCTATTATTTGGAATTGGTTTTTCTCTTTGTTTGGGTGTAGGTGGAACCCCCCACCAGATCCACAAGGCTTGTTTGATTCTTCTTTTGTTAGTTGGAGAAAAAGAGGGGGGGGGGGGAGAATTCTGTGGAGGTGTACAAGAGCAGCAGTATGCTGGACAATATGGGAAGAAGGGAACCAAAGAGTTTTTTCAGACAGGGAAAGAAGCAGAGAAGGAATCATTGAAGCCATCACAATTAGAGTGATCCAGTGGTTCAAGTCTTTGAGCTGATTTGATGACATCTCCACAAATGACTTGCTTAGGAAGTGGAAGGAGGTGGCGGACTCCTCTTGCCGATTTGGTTCCCACCTCCTTTTGGGTTTGTCAAGTTGAATTACGATGGTAGTAGTGAGGGGAATCTGGGTCCTTCAGGCATTGGGGGTGTTTTCCAGAATGAGGAGGGAAGATTTATTGTCTATACTCGGGCCCAATAGATGTGGGAGATTGCTGACACTTTGGCAAAGCAAGGGGTGGGAAGGGATCAGATGTTCTGGGCTATACTGTAAGCTATGTAATTCGATGTCACCTTGGAGAGAGCTAAGAGAGTTTATCTCTCTCCGTGGTCCTCCATTGTATCTCATCTTTATTTAATGAAAACATCATGTTATTGGTAAAAAAAAAACTGTGAAATGAGATGCCAGTGTCTTCCATAGTAATTGCTTTTTTATTTATAACTATAAATTAGGTTACTTAACCGATTTTTTTTGTTGTTTCTTATTTATTTATTATATATTTTATTTTTACAACAGGGTCTATCAGAGGAAGAAGTTAAGGCTGCGGCAGCTTGTGCTAGAGAGGAAGTTATGATAAGGAACAGGTTCTCTGAGATGAATGCACCAAAAGATAGTTCTTCTGTCAACAAGTAAGCCTGTTGTAATTATCAATACTAATGAAATATTCCTTTTCTATTGGCTAAGATTAATCCACAAATGAGCTGAATGATGCTTTGAATACATATAGTGTCATCAAGGCTAAACATTTTTTGTCATTACAATTAACAGGAGTAGTTTCCTTCTTTGGCGTGCTCGTGGTAACTACAATTAATCTGATTGTGGAATTGCTTGTTTCCTCTTGTTGGTTTTATGCTTGGTTTACTTATTTGCTATTATTATTAACTTCAAACTGTATTGGTGGTTGTTGTCCCTTGGTGCAAATTAATGGCTTCTTGCTATGCTTGAAATGAGTGCACTGTTTTCCAAGTTGCTCACTTGCTACTTGCTTAACTTGTATTTGTATTTTCATCAGGTATTACAATCTTGCACATGCTGTGAACGAAAAGGTCACAAGGCAACCTTCAATGTTACGGGCTGGAACTTTGCGTGACTATCAACTTGTATGTTGCAACCCCCTTTTTTGGGTTGTATCTGTCTCTGTTTTGCCATTTTCATTATCTCATGTTTTAATTTAGCATTTTGAGTTAATTGTTTGTGCCCTTCCCTTCCCTTCAGGTTGGGTTGCAGTGGATGCTTTCTTTGTACAACAATAAATTAAATGGGATTTTGGCTGATGAGATGGGCTTGGGAAAGACTGTGCAGGTTATCTTTTGTTAATACTGGTTATTGTTTAAGAAATTTTGTTCAATTTTCCCTTCATCCTTATTTTTTCTCTCTTTCCTCCCTCTTTCTACATAAACAAGAAATAAACTTATTTCTATGTAGAAATTTCTAAACTTAGAGTTTATCATGTCTGTCTTAAACACTAGTTCATGTGCCTACTTCTTTGGAAGGTCTTATATTGTTATTGTTTTTAAAAAAAGAGGGAAAAAGAATGTTCTGATATTGACCTAGTGCTATAGAAGAAACTGAATACATGGTATGTTTCCTAAACAGGTCATGGCGTTGATTGCTTATCTGATGGAATTCAAAGGTAACTATGGGCCACATCTTATAATTGTTCCAAATGCCGTTTTGGTTAATTGGAAGGTCAGTTTTCAACCCTTTGTAGTTACAAACTTTGATATATGTATGTTTCTTTTGGAATTTTCTTTTCTAACTTGACACGTTTATTATTTTAGAGTGAATTGCATAACTGGCTTCCATCTGTGTCATGCATCTTTTATGTTGGGGGGAAGGATCAAAGGTCAAAGTTATTTTCTCAAGTAAGGGACAGCTTTTGCTACTTTTGCTGATATTTTACTTGTAGATACTTATTTTTTTCCTCAACTGCCTTTTGATGATACTTTCCATACAGGAGGTTTCTGCAATAAAATTTAATGTACTTGTTACAACATATGAGTTTATCATGTATGATCGTTCAAAGTTATCAAGAATTGATTGGAAGTACATCATAATTGATGAAGCACAGCGGATGAAGGACAGGGAATCAGTTCTAGCACGTGATCTTGATAGGTATCGCTGCCAGAGACGTCTACTTCTTACAGGCACTCCATTACAGGTCTGTCAATTGGCCTAATAATATTATCTTTAGATGTCTATTCCTTACTCCTCTCATATGAAAGGCTGCATGTTTATCCTTGGTTGAATAAGTTAGGGGTGCAAATGGATCGGATCATGATCCGATCCTATTTGGTCGAATTCGAATCTTCGGATCAGATCGGATAATAGGATCCGATAAGATATCGGATCGGGTTCGAATCACCCCTATTCGATCCGATATATATGCTATATATTTATTTATATAAATATATAATACATATATATGTTATTTGTTTATTTATATTGTGTTTTTGTAAATTTGTTATATTATTTATTTATTTATAAAAACATGTATATATACGATGAAAATAATTAAAAAAATACTTGTACTTATTGTTTTTCTTTATTTAAATTGGTACATTTTATTTTTCTTTTAATAATTTATTAATTTTTAAAGAAGACAAATCGGATTGGATCATATCCGAATATCCGACTTCCTGATCGGATTCGAATTCAGATCCGGTCAGATCTTTGGATCAGATCGGATCTGCAATTAACAGTGTTGGATTGGATTTAGATATACCCTGATTCAAATCCGATCTGATCCATTTGTATCCCTAGAATAAGTGCTGATTTATAGGTCTGTTAATTATCATGATTCATGACAATATGCCCATATTGCATTTTTAGCTCTGATAATCCAAAATGATGGTGGCACCTACATCTTAACACATTCTTGAAATTAAGCTCAAAAGTTGAATTTACTTGATTCAAGAAATGTATGTTTCTGTCACCTGCCATCAGCCATTGAATCCTTGACTTTACCACCAGGAGATCTCCATCTGCACCAACCAACTATACTCCTCTTTTGCCAAATACCTTGTATACACTCTTCTTTTGAAAGGTGGCCTTCTTCCTTGGCATCTAACTCTTGTATTTGATTCAACGTCCTTCCTTGCAAGAGTGTGATACTTTCCTGCACCTCCTTATTCCACCTCCTAATTTCCCCCATACAAATTTTTAACCTTCTCAGAAAACTTTCACATAGGTGCCCCTGAAGCTGGAGCTTCCTTCCACCATTCTGCTGTCTCCTCTGCAAAGTTTGGCACTTTGAAATACATTACCTCAAATCTGAATGGACCTGGTGTGTGATGTTATACAGCAGTTTGGAGAACTGTTTGATCAGATGTCATCCTTAGGAGTGCTACCTCTATGTCTGAAAATAAATCTTCAGAACTGCTGCTAATCAGAAACTTGTCCACCTTGGAGAGGGATGGATTCTTGGAGGTTACTCCAAGTGAGTTCTGTTCCCTCAAGAGGCAAATCAATTAGATTTGTTCTATAAATGAAAGCTCTGAACTGTATGATATCAGTGTTTATTTTTGTAATGTGGAATTTTTCAATCAGGTAATGGCTTTGGTTATAATTTCTGCAGTGCTATGAATAGTGGTAACTGGTAGCATAAAAAGAAATTTAATAGGTTTAGTATTTGTTAACTTGTGCATAAAATTATGATGATATCTGCTCCTAAGCACTTGTTTTTATATACATAACATATTATTCACTTAATTTTTTTTCCTCTCATTGCCATTCTTTAGGGTGTTTTTCCTCCTATCAAATTTTCCTGGCATACTATGCATGGCTGAACTGAACTTGGATTTTCTCCCTTTATGCAGAATGATCTGAAGGAGCTTTGGTCACTTCTAAATTTACTCCTTCCAGAAGTATTTGATAATCACAAAGCATTTCATGATTGGTTCTCAAAGCCCTTTCAGAGGGATGGACCTCCACATAATGTGGAGGATGACTGGCTCGAGACTGAAAAGAAGGTGATCATTATCCATAGACTTCATCAGATTTTGGAACCTTTTATGCTCAGACGTCGTGTTGAAGATGTGGAAGGGTCACTTCCACCCAAGGTACAATATTTAATTTAAAATAATATTTTGGCATTTACAAGTTGTTATGTGCTTGCCATGCTTCAGTCACTTTATGAAGATTCATCTAACTACTATGGGTTAGGTTATGTATGAATGGTATGGGTTGTATTGCAGGTGTCCATTGTTTTGAGATGTAGAATGTCAGCCATTCAAGGTGCCATATATGATTGGATTAAATCCACAGGGACCCTTAAGGTTGATCCTGAGGATGAGATGCAAAGAGTTCAAAAAAACCCAATGTATCAGCCTAAAGTATATAAGACTCTCAATAACAGATGTATGGAGCTCCGTAAAGCTTGCAATCATCCTTTGCTTAATTATCCTTATTTTAGTGATTTCTCCAAAGAGTTTCTTGTCCGGTCTTGTGGGAAACTTTGGGTCCTAGATAGAATCCTGATAAAACTTCAGAGAACAGGACATCGTGTGCTTCTATTTAGTACTATGACAAAGCTTCTTGATATACTGGAGGAGTACCTGCAATGGCGACGGCTTGTGTACAGACGAATTGATGGGACAACTAGCCTAGAAGATCGTGAATCAGCTATTGTGGACTTCAACTGTGCTGATTCTGATTGTTTTATCTTTTTACTTAGCATACGTGCTGCTGGCCGAGGTCTAAATCTACAATCTGCAGATACAGTTATCATTTATGATCCTGACCCAAATCCTAAAAATGAAGAACAAGCAGTTGCTAGGGCCCACCGTATTGGACAGAAGAGAGAGGTCAAAGTCATCTACATGGAAGCAGTTGTTGACAAAATTTCAAGCCATCAGAAAGAAGATGAATTTAGGAGTGGATGTACAGTTGACCTAGAAGATGATCTTGCAGGTAAAAATCGATATATGGGCTCAATAGAAAGCCTTATACGTAATAATATTCAACAATACAAGATTGACATGGCGGATGAGGTCATAAATGCTGGGCGTTTCGATCAGAGGACAACACATGAAGAGAGACGATTGACCTTAGAGACATTATTGCATGATGAGGAGAGGTATCAAGAAACTGTGCATGATGTTCCCTCGCTGCAACAGGTGAATCGCATGATTGCCCGTAGTGAAGAAGAGGTTGAGCTATTTGATCAAATGGATGAACTGGATTGGACTGAGGAGATGACAAGGTATGATCAGGTACCAGAATGGCTTCGAGCCAGCTCTAAAGATGTAAATGCAGCTCTCGCTAATTTATCTAAGAAGCCATCAAAGAATATTTTGTCTGCCAGTCTTGGCATGGAATCCAGTGAATTGGTTTCCGATTTATCTCATAGCAAAACAGAGAGGAAAAGGGGACGGCCAAAGGGATCATCAAATGGCAAAAAGCTCCCCATTTATAGGGAATTGGATGATGAAAATGGGGAATATTCAGAAGCAAGTTCAGAAGAGAAGAATGGATATTCTTTGCATGAAGAAGAGGGAGAGATTGGTGAATTTGAAGATGAAGAATATAATGGTGCTGTTGGTATACCACCATGCGATAAGGACCATGCAGAAGATGGCCCAGTTTATGATGGTGATTATGAATATTCCCGGGCATCAGAAGGTGCTAGAAATAACCATATCTTTGAAGAAGCTGGTTCATCAAGGTCGTCCCCAGAGAGTCGAAGATTGGTGCAGATGTTATCTCCTTCCATATCTTCCCAGAAGTTTGGATCTCTTTCTGCATTGGATGCAAGGCCAGGTTCTCTTTCAAAAAGGCTGGTATGGCTTCTTTCTTTGGGTATATGTTATGACTGCTATATTGGTTCTTTATTATTGAATAAGCCTATCGTATCTGCTAATGGACCTTCTTTAAAATTTTTCCAGCCAGATGAACTGGAGGAGGGGGAGATTGCTGTTTCAGGTGACTCTCACATGGACCTCCAACAATCTGGAAGTTGCGCTCATGATCGTGATGATGGTGAAGATGAGCAGGTTTTGCAACCCAAAATAAAACGGAAGCGTAGCATTCGTCTTCGCCCCAGACATAATTTGGAGAGGTGTGAAGAGAATCTTAGCAATGAAAAGTCTTTTCTCCAGCATGGAAGTTCATCTCAGTTGGCATTTCGTGTGGATGGTGACTATGAAGCAGAATTGAGAACTGGTCCTAAACTAGAGGTATTTGGAGACCCTGTTGATCTCAGGCAAGATCCAAGTGATTCAACTTTGAAAAGTAGGCGGAGTTTTCCAGCAAGAAAAGTTGCAAATTCTTTGAAGTTGCATGTTATTCCAAAATCTGGTAGCAAATTAAATGGTACATTGAGGCCCACAGAGGATTGCACTGAACATTCTAAAGAAAGTTGGGATAGTAAACCTATGAACACAAATAGTGTTGCTTTCTTTAGCTCAAAGATGTCTGACATTATGCAGAGAAAGGTATGCAATTTTTAAACTGTCTCTATCATGTTGTTTCTATCTAGACTTGGCAGTACATGAAGAATATTTGAGTCTTTTTGTGATATTACTGATAAGATATTCTAACTCTCCCTTCCCATGGGGTGCTTCTTTTTGTGGATTGGTTTATTAGCATACTTAGGGATATGATCTGGTTAATTTCATTCTAAGAATTATAAACCAAAAGTTACTAATTTTGAAAAATTAAACAAAATCAATTGATTTTTAATGCACCATGTACAGTCATGGCTTTTCCCCCCATTTTTGAGAAAAGTGTAAAGTGTTGTATTAAGAATAACAAAAACTTAATCAGCCATTACAACCAGCACAGCCAGGAGCTGTGCAGCCCCATAATATATATCAAGCTGTTTTACTTACAAAAAATATCATGGACAAAAAAATAAAATAAAAAGATTATATGTAGTGTTCCTGAAGAATCTGTGAGCTGCAACCAAAGAGTATATTCTTCCCCCTAGAGTTTTTAAAATGTCTTTTTCCCTCTTTTCTATTCTTTCAAATATTCTTCCATTTCTGGCTAAATTTTGGTTGTGGAAATTGGTTCACTGAAAAAACTATTTTCGAATATATTCTATTTTGTGAAAATAACTGGGTAAGGGATGTTTTTAATGGTAACTTTGAACATTTATGGGCTTTGGAATGTATGGTTTTGCTTGATATGCTTTAGAACACGACCTGGTTTGGTATTCTGTGAGATCTGTCAACTTTTCTCTGATGATCTGAAAGAAGGTAAGTTCTAGATTTTCTTTAGGCTCTGTTTGGAAAGAGTGCAAATACATGTTCAGTGCAAAACCTTGCATACAGTCCATATTTGTATTTCTAAACTTTGCATTTGTACTGAACATATTTGTATTTTTACTCTTCCCAAATGAAGCCTTAGGGTCATTCCAGCTCTTCACCATGTGATCTTGATTTTGAATGAGGGCATATTGAGAGATCTGGCTTACATGGTTAATGCCTCAAAGTATTTTCTACTAATATGTTATAAAAATGCTTTTTTTTGGTGACTTACTGAACCTTCATTAATAGCAACAAGGGAATTATTATCAGAGGGTCAAAGAGTCCCACTGCCACAAGAGAGACTAAAAAGACCAAAGCAACAAATACAACAACAACAATGAGAAATCACATGGCTCAAAGAATTTACACAATAAAATTATCACCTCTTCATAGTTCTCTCCTTTCAAACTTATCTTTAAACAGAATATCTATGAAGTAAGGAAGAGCACCTTGACGGATCAAATTGAGTTCCTTGATTCGAAAGAAGAAAGGGGAGAATTTGGAGAGGTAGATAAGGAACAAAGAAGAGGTCTGAGAAGGCAATTAGAGGATTGTCTACACAAGGAGGAAATAAATTGGAGGCAAAAATCTCAATGCAAATGGCTGCAAGAGGGAGATAGAAATACCAAAATTTTTCATTCTGTGGAAAATGGGAGGGGAAGAAAAACTTTATCTCAAGACTGGAAGTGGATGGTGTTGCTTTAACACAACAGGATGAAATAGCAGGGGCCTTTGTTGAACACTTTAAGTCCATATTAAGAAGGCCATCAAGTAGGGGGATGTGGCTAGAAGGACTAGATTGGCTAGATGTAGGGGCGGACAATAGGCAGAGATTGGAAAGAAGGTTTGAATTGGAGGAGATTAAGGAGTTTGTGCTTTCTATCAAGATTGTTGGGATACGTGAAAGGTGACCTATTGCTAGTGTTGGAGGAATTTTATAGAAGAGGTGTGGTTAACCTGGGTCTGAACTCCACTTTCTTAGCATTGGTTCCAAAAGAAAGATGCGTCCCATCCAAAGGACTTTAGACCAATCAGTCTGGTAAATAGCTTGTATAAGATCTTAGCAAAGGTTTTGTCTTTGAGGATGAAGGAAGTACTGTCAGTAATAATCTCTCCAAATCAAGGAGCTTTTGTGAGTGGAAGACAAATTATTGATCAAATCCTAATTACCAATGAAAGTGTGGAGAATTTTAGGAAGGATAGGAAGAAGGGAATGGTTTGTAAGCTGGATTTGGAAAAGGCTTATGACTTGGTGGAGTGGTCGTTCTTGATGAAAGTTAGACCAAATTTGGGTTTGGGAGTAGATGGTGTAAATGGATCATGGGGTGTGTTCAGAACTGTCATTATTATGTGCTAGTGAATGGGACAATGGTGGGTTTCTTTCTAGTCGTTAGGGGAATAAGACAGGGGGACCCCCTATCTCCCTTTTTGTTCACTCTGGTTGCTGATGTTCTGGGGAAACTGATTCATAGAGCAGATTCTAGGGGCCTCTTAAGAGGTTGGAGACTTGGGAGGGAGGAAATTCCCCTTACCCACTTACAGTTTGCAGATGACACAATTCTGTTCTGTGAAGGAGGGAACTTGAGGTACATCAGGAACATGAAATTGGTGATACAACTCTTTGAACAAATGTCCAACCTAAAGGTGAATTTTGAGAAAAGTTGTGTAGTGGGTATGAATTTGGAGGGAGAGGTCAGGGAAAGTGCAGAATTGCTGGGTTGTGAAGCTTCAGGATGGTCATTGAATTACCTAAGGATGCCTTTGGGTGACAACCCAAAGAAAGAGAGTTTCTGGAATCCGGTGGTGGAAAGATTTGAAAAGAGACGTGCCTCTTGGAAGAAGAATTACCTTTCCCTTGGAGGGAGAGTTACACTGATAAAGGCTACTTTAGCCAACTTACCCATTTATTTCCTTTCAGTGTTCAAAATCCCAGCAAAGGTATGTAACAGATTGGAGAAGATGATGAGGGGTTTCCTATGGGGGTCAGGAGAGGACAAAAGGAACTATAGGGTGAGTTGGGAGGTGGTGACTAGGAGCAAAAATCTAGGTGGCTTGGGGCTTGGGAACATCAAGAAAAGGAATTTGTTTCTTTTGGGGAAATGGCTGTGGAGACTCCCAATAGAAAAGGAGAGACTATGGGCTAAAGTAGTGGTATGCATACATGGGCTGGAGCAAAATGGATGGGATGCTGGGATTCGAGCTAGGACCACAAGTGCGTCACCTTGGAAAGCCATTCATGATCTGCTTCCAACGTTCTCCCCTCTCATCAGGTATGATTTGAACTCAGATAACTCCATAAAATTTTGGGAACAAACATGGGTGGGGAATGCCCCTCTTAAGGACTTATCTCCTTCTTTGTATGCCCTTTCTGACTTAAAAAATGAGCCAATTTCTTCCTTCATTACCCCCTCATCTTCCTCTTCTAGGTTTGGGTGGAATTTGGGCTTGAGAAGGGCTATGAGAGATTTAGACTTGGATAGTATTTCGAGCCTCCTTGGTATCCTTGATAATGTTTTTTCGGACCTTGCTAAGTTGGATTTCTAGAATCTGGACCCCCACCCCCACCGACTCATTTTCTTGTGCCTCTTTTTTCAAAGTCTTAAGTCAGTCCCCCAGTTCTGTTGCCCCTCCCTTCCCGGTTAATGAGGTTTGGTGCAGACCAATTCCCCCTAGGGTTGGTAGTTTTTGCTGGGAAGCTTTTTTGGAAAGAATCGGTACTGGTGATTTGCTCCAAAAGAAGAGACCCAAGACATGTTTATCCCCTCATAGGTGTGTTCTTTGTAAAGCGGATGGGGAGACTGGTTTTCACCTATTGGTGTCTTGCCAGTTTGCTCAGTCCATTTGGGTGTGGGCTTTATCCCTCTTTGGGTGTAGGTGGAATCCTCCATCAAACTTGCGAAGTCTTTTTTCCCCTTCCTTCTTCAGGTGCCGAATGAAAAGGGGAAGGACCATGTGGAGATGTTTGAGGGCTGCAGTATGCTGGGCTCTGTGGGAGGAAAGCAATTCCAGGATCTCCTTTGAAGTAGAGAGAGGCAATGAAGAACTGAGAGAATTGATCCATATAAGGGTAGTACAGTGGCTGAAATCTTTAGAGCTGTTTACAGACTTCATAGTGGATGATTTGTTGAGGAAGTGGGGTGAGATTGCTAATTGCACCCAGACCAAAACATTCTTGTATGTGTCTTGGACTCCCCCACCAGCCGGGTTTTTTAAAACTAAACTCTGATGGGAGTAGTTGGGGGAATCCTGGACACTCGGGGATTGGGGGTGTGTTTAGGGATGAGAATGAGTTTGTTTCAGCCCTGTTCTTAGGCCCAATTGGAGTGGGTGGTTCTCTCAAGGTTGAGATCTTTGCAGTTTAGGAAGGAGTCCAAAGAGCAAAGGAGATGAGTATAAGAAAACTCATAATTGAAGGGGACTCGGAGGTGGTGGTAGGGTGGCTGAATGGGTAAAAAGATCAGTTAACTCTTTTGCTGATGGGTTAGCTAAGCGAGGGGTCGAGAGGGAGTCAATGTTTTGGGCACAAGTGTAATTTTTTCCTTTTTCTGCTCTTGGGAGCTCAAGCTTCATTTGGAAGATAAGAAAGTTTATCTTCCTCCATGTAGTTGCTTCTTTGTTTAATTAATGAAATGTTGTTATTGATAAAAAAAAATCTATGAAGTAGCTAGTAAATCTAGGAATCCACTTAAATGTAATTTTCACTCTAAATGCCATTCTTAAGGCCTCTCTTAACTAGGTTCGTTTATCATTTGTCAAAAAAAAAAAAAAACCTAGGTTAGGTTCCAATGAGGAGGACCATCTGCTTATCTACATAACCAACAAATTAGACTGGGAATCCCCCTCTACCTTGACATGCTTACACCCCGATGTCATCAACCTAACCAATGAATCAGACATACAAGCAAAGCTCTAAAAATGGCCTTTATCCACCATGATTGCAGGTCCTGAGAAAACAAGAATGGCTTCAGTATCATGACCTCTGAAGCAACACCAAAGCCTGATGGTAGAGGAGTCCATCTAATCCACAGCCAATCTGATCTAATTATATAGAAAATATTATGTCTGTAAGAACAGTCGGAATTGTGTTGATATGCCCTTGTGTAACTACCTCATACAATGGGATAGGCTGATATATGGGACAGCCTTGGGATGAACAAACCTCTCAAAGATAAAGAACATTACAATGGAAAAGAAAAAAAAGTTATTTACATAATATAGGCATTACATATTCACAAATCAGGTTTGGAGTCACAGCAAACCCAATATGAGACGTTGAATGATCACATCATAAAAGGAAAGTTATTGTGCATCATATACAAGCAAAAAGAGGCAAGGCTTTGTTGGATGGATTATGAAATTATCTATTAAATGATACGAATATCAATGCAATCATGTAGGTTTTGCCTACCCAAATCTTTGCTACAATTAGAATGATGGTTTTGACATACTTTTTTTTCCCTCTAGCTTTAGATCCTAATTTACAGATGATTATGAATATGGGCTCCTTTGCATCTTGTGTCATACGCTTTCTTTGACACTTTTGTTAATCTAAATTTTCTAAAAGTTTTTTTTTCTAGTTTATTTAACGGTCAAATTAGTTTGAATAGTCTTGCAAGAGTTTTTTTTTTTATAATTTTGAAGTAGGTGAAGATGAAACAACGTAACTTTTCTTTTATCCTATTTTTAAGGGGTCAAAATTTTGTTTTACATGATTTTGGTGTCATTAGGTTATTGAGTGTTTGGTGTTCCTATGAGTTATATGGGTTTACCTTAATTCTAAAATTCTAATGTGATTAGGAGTAATCTTTTATCAATTTCTTAGTTGGAATTGGAGTCCACAAAGGGAAATTCAAGCCCTCGTATTGATTCTAGAAATAGGTTCATTGTAATCTCTCTCTCTCTCTCTCCCCCCTCCGGCCCTCCCCCGGTTTCTTCTTTTAAGCAATATATCTCTCTGATTTTCTAACAACAGGAATTATCTTTCATCTTCTTCTATTCTTCCTTGCTAGAATCTAATTTCCTGCTTTTTTCTTTGGTAGAAAGCAAAGCTATCTACTTTATTCTCTGCCTCTGTGTTTCATCATTTATCACTCAAATTACCCTCCTTCACCGTAGAAAGCCCACCCCTAGATCTATAGGTTGTAGTCCTACCTGTCCATTACCTACACTCATATCTTTAGAGATGTAGGGGCCAAGTCAAAAGGCAACATGTTTTTCTCTACCCCCAGGGCCCGGTACCTACCCCCAATACCAACATGTTTTTCTCTACCCCCTCCTTTGTTAAAAGGTCAGTCAGCATATTGGTAGACCTGGGAGTCCACTTGAGTGAGCAGTTCAAGTTGGAAGTCCATGCCTTCCTTTCCCTTGTGAGGAATCTTATGATCCATAGATTTTCTGTCCCTCGTAGGAACCACGTTATTGCTATCTGACCATCTCCTTCAATGATTAACTTGAACCAGCTGACATCTGTCAGCAAGCAACCTCAAATGGTTCTTGGTTTCTTTAATCTTGTCAGCTGGTTCAATCTTTGTTATAAAACACTGACAGGGCAATATATATTTTACCCTGTATTTTCATGCATGAAAAATGATAATTGTGCATATGTATAAATGCCGCTTTTCTTGTTTCAGTACAAGAATGTAATCAGCAAGCTTCAGAGAAGAATTGATAAAGATGGTCATCAAATTGTACCTTTGCTAACGGATTTGTGGAAAAGGAGTGACAACTCCAGTCACAACGGTAATGATGGAGGGACTGATTTCTTGGATCTATGGAAAATTGATCAACGTGTGGACAGATTAGAGTATAATGCGGTGATGGAATTTGTTGCAGACGTTCAGTCCATGTTGAAGAATGCGATGCAGTACTTTGGTTTTTCATATGAGGTATGATTATTGACTTTAGCTTCTCCTTGTAAATCCCTTGCCTTGGATTTGCTAAGTTGTTGTTTAGAACAAACTGGCATACTCGTATCTGGGAAAAGCTTGGACCTGGGGCCAAGGGGCCACAAAACTTGTCATGTCACCTAGACTCAACTTAAACATGTCCCACTTTGGGGACATTCTTGGCCAATTACCGTCCCAAAGCATGATTATAACTGTTTAAGGTTTTACTGAATAAGTTTGGACAACAGAAAATTATTCTCTTGGAACTCTTTGGGGGTGTTCTTTTTTCGGATTTTGAGAGGGGGAAAGTTGGTCAATGGGATTTTGGTTTCCATTGACCAAGAATTCCATGTTCTTTTTTCAGATTTATATGGGGACCAGGGAAAGTTTATTTTCCCGGGTAACACTTACCCGGGTAAGTGATACCCATCTCCTAGATGGGTAAATAACTTTCCCAGCTAGGGGGAAAGTTGCCTAACACTTGAATGTGACAAAAATGCCCTTTTTAATAATGAATTTTTATAACTAAAATGGTCATTGCCTTATTTACCCGGGTAAGTGATACCCAAGTAACTGCATTTACCTGGGTAAGTAACTTACTGAAAAGCGAACGGGGCGTTTGTATCCAAATGAAAAGAAAAAGGGGCGCACTTATGCAGGTTGGGTGGTAGGTGGTTCCATCCTCAAGATTGGGCCCTCTGGATAGGGCATTCAATCCTTGAGTCTACATCAGCACCATATCCACCAAGGTTAGTGTTTTCCTTGTGTAATGTTTTAGCTGTTCATGGGGTAAATTTCAGCCGAAAGGCCTTCACCACATATTACTATCTTCCATTTTCATTGAGCAATATCTAATTTACAAAAACGAAAATTAAGATATAGAACATCCCTTGTGAAACTTGAATACAAAGTGGAATATAGGGCTGATGTAGATTGGAGGTTTAAACATGTTGCAAACCAGAGTATCCCCTATGTGATGGTAATAGGTGGGCTTATCCTTGATCTTTTCAGTTGACCTAATTTTGGGGGCACCTCACCACAGATGACCTTTCTGTAGCCATGTACAAGGGTATGATGTGAGTAATCCATGACCCATCATATAGAGGAATCTCTGCACTGGTTCATGTTTTTGGGCTGAAATAGTGGGGAGCACGTGGAGCCCTTTTGTTTCCCAGCTATTGTGCCACGTATGGGATTCACAATTGTAGTTTAGATAGAATACTGGGTATTCTGCTGACTGGAACAATGGAGAATCCTAGATTTTCCTTTGTTATGGGGTAATCTTTAGTATGGTTTCCATTTTATGGGATGTCTCCCTAGAGACATTCTAGGGTGTGTATCTTCTTAACAACATAGGAGGAACAATGTAAAACTGTGATGGTCATTTTTTTCCCATGGATCAGTGATGACTAAACCGTAAAATTTCACTTGACAGGTGAGGTCAGAAGCAAGAAAAGTACAAGATCTCTTCTTTGACATTATGAAGATTGCATTCCCGGATGCAGATCTACGGGAAGCGAGGAATGCGATCTCATTTTCTGGACCAGGAGCTTCCCCAGTCCTGTCTCCGAAACAGGGTGTCACTGGCCAAAGCAAGCGTCAGAAACTGATCATTGGCGTGGGGCCCGATACGAATCCTCTCTCGAAGATATTGCCATATGCCCCAACCTCTGCTGATGATGACACAAGGGTTCGAGGCCATATGTCAAAGTTTCAGGACTCGTGGCTTGTACGGGAGCTAGGTCAGCAGCAGCCGGATGAGACGATGACATTTACTCATCCAGGGGAGTTAGTCATATGCAAGAAGAAGAGGAAAGACAGGGACAAGTGTCTGTCGAAGTCAAGGACTGTCCCTGCATCAGATTCAACATCACCGCCCAACATGGGCCGCAATGTTAGGGGTCCAGGTCCAGGCCCAGTTCCAACGCAGAAGGACGTGAGGTTGAATCAGTCTTCTACCCTTCAGCATGGGTGGCCCCACAAAACACCACAAGCCAATAGTGATGGCGGGAGTCAGGGTTGGGCGAAGCCTGTAAAGAAAATGAGGACAGATGCTGGTAAAAGAAGACCAGGCCAATTATAATATGATACGAAGTGTACATAATTATACAGCAAAAAAAAAAAAAAAAATTGTTCGTATTAATTTTAGGTGCAAGGTGCAAGATGTAGTGTCTCTTGTGGTTTTGTACAAGTGAAATTGAGCTTATTCTGTTCAATACAACATCGTAGCCCATAATCTCCATTTGTGTTTCCCTTGCCCTAAATAAATTTGGGAAGATGATAAGATAACGTGAACGAGATTTTGGGTATGTCACGATCAGCGGATTTTGGCCCTAGGAGTTCACATCTCAATATATGGCTGAGATGTGTTGTGGGGCGCCCCCTTGTGGGGGCTGATGTGAACGAGTTCGGCTTCCATCAGAGCAATATTCATTCGAGCAGTCTTTACAGCCTTCTATTGGGAATATCTTTATATTCATGTATTTTATTTTATGGGGAGATATTTCCGATACAATGATGCAAGAGGTTGTTGGGACGGTGTGAGCATAGGCTTGTCCTGTCCGAAGCCGATCTCAATGTGAACACTGGCCCCTTAGATGGCGTTCCCTAAATCCAAACTAAAAAAAAAGGCTTTTAAAAAAAGTTCTGAAAGCAATATGTGAAAAATTTGCTTTCCTACTTTTGGGAGGTAGAGGAAAGAAGAAAAAAAAAAGCTCAAAGTGAAGCTCCTTCAGCTAAATCCTCCTTATTTCTGTACTCTTTATTTGTTAAACTCATTGGACTTTTAATTTTTAATTTTTATTCATTCTCTTATAGATGCATTGGCTCTCCTACTAGAATTTGCATAAAAACAATGTAGTCAAATGGGTTCCTCTAAGGGTACTTTTTTCTATTAAATAAAATTTCTTAATTTAAAAACACACTAGCTGGAGAGCCACACATTTGCACAGGTATGAGTAGATACATAAAAAGGACCAAGGAGAGATGGTGGATTTTGGATTTCGGAGCAGATTATGATAGAGGTGGACCCTGGCAAAAGCCTTAAAAAAAATACAAAATAAATACAGTAACTCATTAAATTTAACCATTAAATAGTATTTAGTCCCCGCTCGCTTTTCGGTTATTTGGTTAGGTAAATGCACTTATCTAGGTAAGTGCACTTATTCATGTTTTTTTTTTTTTAATTTTCAAGTAAATAAAGTAATGACCATTTTAACCATAAAAATCAATTATTAAAAGGGGTATTTTTCTCCCAATCCAAGTGTTGGCAACTTTCCCCTGAGTAGAAAAGTTATTTACCCACTTGGGAGATGGGTGTCACTTACCCCAGGAAAATAAGTTTTCTCTGGTTGCCTATATAAATTTGAAAAAAGAACATGGGTTACTACTCGTTACTCAGTTAATAAGAACCAAAATCACATTAACCAACTTTACCCCCTCTCAAAATCCAAAAAACGAATGCCTCCCTTAGAAAAAATTACATCTTCATTAGTTGTTGACAAATATTTACATCCAGTTAAGGGTGAGCAAAAAAAAAAAAAAAAAAAAAAAAAAGATCGAAAAAATTGATGGAATTTATAATAAATTATTTATTATTTAAAATAATATTATATATATTTATATATTTTCTTATAATATATACTAAAAAAAAAAAAAAAAAAACAAAAAACCAATCGAAACCGAACCGAAAAATCGGTTAACCAAACCGGTCGGTTTAGTTTTGGTTTAGTGTTTTAAAAAACCGAAGGTACCGGTTTGGTTTCGGTTAACCAATATAGAAAACTGGTGGTTAATTGAACTGACTGGTATACATATATTTCTATATATTATATATATATTTATGTATATTATATATTATAAATTAATAAATATGCATTATATATAAATATATATTTATAATATATGATATATTATTTATTATTTAAAATAGAATATTATATATATTTATAATTTTTTATTATATATATTTTTATAGTATATATTGTAAAAATTAAAAAACTAAAAAACCGACGATTAATCAATTGGCTTCGGTTCGGTTTCGGCTACCAGTTTTCCAAAAAATGGTAGTACCGGTTCGGTTACAAAAACAGGCCCATAGTTAACCAAGCCGTGAGCACCCCTACTAAAATGAGTAGGGGTGGATTCAAGCTGAGCCAAGCTGAATACTTGGTTATTCGAGCTCGGTTCACAAGAATAGTATCAGGTTCGAGCTCGAGCTTGATCTTGATTCGGGCTAGAGGCTTGAGCTTGAGCTCGGCTCGGCTCAAGCTCGACAATAAGCCATTTTGTTTTTGAAAAATAAAAATTATATGTATAAATTTATTTCTTTTTAATTTTTTAGACAAAAAATTAAGAATTATAAAAATTATTTACTATTATACATCAAAAATAAAAATATTATTATATATATAATAAAATATGTATGTATGTATGCTCGCGAGCCTCACGAGCCAAACTTCACTAGGCTCGAGCTCGGCTCGATTAGCAAACGAGCTTATATATCGAGCTCGAATTTGGCTCGAAGCTCGGTTTAAACCGAGTCAAGCCGAGCTCGAATAGCTCGTGAAAGGCTTGGCTTGTGGCCACCTCTAAAAATAAGAGAGACTGAGAGCTCTCCGTTGGGGTAATGGAGAAGGCTCAGGCCATGATGTGGCATCATTCTACTTAAGTGTATATATATTCAATTTTTTTGGATAGGCATATAGGCTACACAACAGGGGTAGCCATCCTCCCCCAAACCCGTAGACTAAGGGTGCCAATGGTATACATATATTTCTATATATTATATATATATTTATGTATATTATATATATTATAAATTAATAAATATGCATTGTATATAAATATATATTTATATATATGATATATTATTTATTATTTAAAATATAATATTATATATATATTTATAATTTTTTATTATATTTATAGTATATATTGTAAAAATTAAAAAACTAAAAAACCGATGGTTAACCAATTGGCTTCAGTTTGGTTTCGGCTACCAGTTTTCCAAAAAATGGTAGTACCGGTTCGGTTACAAAAAAAAGGCCCATAGTTAACCAAGCCATGAGCACCTACTAAAGTTAGTAGGGGTGGATTCAAGCTAAGCCAAGCTGAATACTTGGCTATTCGAGCTCGGTTCACAGGAATAGTATCAGGCTTGAGCTCGAGCTTGATCTTGATTCGAGCTAGAGGCTTGAGCTCGAGCTCGGATTGGTTCATAGCTCGCAAGTTCGAGCTCAGCTTGGCTTGAACTCGGCTTGGCTCGAGCTCGATTCGAGCTAGAGACTTGAGCTCAAGCTCAGCTCAGTTCATAGTTCGCAAGTTTGAGCTTGAGTTCGATTCAGATAGAGACTTGAGCTCGAGCTCGGCTCGGTTCATAGCTTGCGAGTTTGAGCTCGGCTTGGCTTAAACTCGACAATAAGCCATTTTTTTTTGAAAAATAAAAATTATATGTATAAAATTATTTTTTTTTATTTTTTAGACAAAAAATTATGAATTATAAAAAGTATTTACTATTATACATCAAAAATAAAAATATTATTATTTATATAATAAAATTATTATATAAATAAATTATTATATATGTATGAATGTATGTATGTATGTATGTGTGTGTATATGTAACAAAAATTATTTATTTAATACTAGGCTCGCGAGCCTCACGAGCTAAGCTTCACTAGTCTCGAGCTCAGCTCGATTAGCAAACAGTTTTATATATCGAGCTCGAATTTGGCTCAAAACTTGGTTTAAACCGAGTCGAGCCGAGCTCGAATAGCTCGTGAAAGGGTTGGCTTGTGGCCACCTCTAAAAATAAGAGGGACTGAGAGATCTCCCTATGAATGTATGTATGTATGTATGTATGTATGTATGTATGTATGTATGTATGTATGTATGTATGTATGTATGTATGTATGTATGTATGTGTGTATATGTAATAAAAATTATTTATTTAATACTAGGCTCACGAGCCTCACGAGCCAAGCTTCACTAGGCTCGAGCTCGACTCGATTAGAAAACGAGCTTATATATTGAGCTCGAATTTGGCTCGAAACTCGGTTTAAACCGAGTTGAGCCGAGCTCGAATAGCTCGTGAAAGGCTTGGCTTGTGGCCACCCCGAAAAATAAGAGGGACTGAGAGCTCTCCGTTGGGGTAATGGAGAAAGCTCAAGCCATGATGTGGCATCATTCTACTTAAGTGTATATATATACACACTTAAGTGTATATATATTCATTTTTTTTTTGGATAGGCATATAGGCTACACAACAGGGGTAGCCCTCCTCCCCCAAACCCGTAGACTAAGGGTGCCAATGGACCAGTTTTTTTATTGAACCCCTGTTTAAACCAAAATCAATTTGGACAGATTGGACAGACCAACAAGGCATATTTAATTGGACCAGTCCAGACTTAATGGTTCAAAGTGTTTGTTAGATTGGATTGGACCTGGTCCTCCTGTAATGAATTTATATTGGATTGGGTTGGACTAAGCCAATATCTGGTCCATTGAAAGATAAAAACCAATCTAAATTAAAATAAATTTGATGGTCCAAAATATTTATTAGATTGAATTGGACATGATCTATTTGTAATGTACTCCCATTGGACTGGATTCCAGTCCAATTGACACGCCTACCCTAGTTCCTCCAACACATCTGAATACAGGACTGATCCTGTCTCTCCACTACAATCAGTTTGAAACTTTACTAATAGATTATGATTATGAGCATGAAAAGATAAATTAAGATTCATATGATGCCAGTTTGATGAAGGATATATATGTCTTTTCAGCAAGAGGGATGTACCATGTTAGATTAAGAAAGAGAGTAAGCCCAAATCATTATTCCTCTTTCTTATTTATTTTTATTTTTTCCTGAGTTACCTTCAATGATTGTGATTGATTAATGTTAAATCAAGCTATCACATAACTAACGTGCACATAATTGGCACATCTGGCAAGAATATAAAACCAACTCAATAAGAGTTCCTTTTTTTCCTTTGGTAAAGAATAAAGGTCCTTTTTATACTTAAAAGTTGAAACTCTCCCACGCCCATAGATATATACTGATAAAAATCAGCTTGACTAAAATGGTTCAAGGATGGCCCCCTATCTTATTTGAATTTGAATTGAAGCTGAAAGAGAGAGATAAGAAACCCAAATATCCTCTGGTGTTTCTTTTGAGAGATCTCTTGTTTATTTGAATCTAAAAAGAAAGAAAGAAAGAGAAGACAATCTGTTTAAGAAATAAACAAATTTGATATACATGTATATAACTTTTACCAAACAACTGTTAAGTACCTGGATTTGTTTGAGTTAAATAAAGCCTTAAGAGATAAGGACAAAAGGTTTTGCCCAAATATTAAAACCATCTAGCATGTTCTACTGCATAGGTAATATGCACTCCCACATGTACAAGTCCAACAGATATTTATATAATAATGCTTCACTCTTGTGTTTTTTAAACCCCACCCAAGAAACTAAAGCATCCTAGAAAAGTAACATTCACATGCTCACTTTGTTTGTTTACTGGCTGCTCAAAGAGTTGGTCTTGTGCTCTCCTATCATTTAAGTTTTAAGCCTAATAATCTTGTTTATTATTAGCCTTATCACCCTAATTAAGCTACATGATTTGATAAATTAGATGTTAATGAGGAAAACACTAGGAAATTTCAAAGGGATTTGCCTCTCATTATTAGCAATGAAGACTGTGCATTTGGTTTCTCACTTCTGCTGACCACTTTCCAGAGAGGATCCAGCATGCACGCGTGGGGCCGAGCGTGTAATCTCATATTATTATATTCTCTGTTGCCCATCTCTCAATCTCTCACACACTCTCTCTCTCTCTCTGTAATAAATGGGGTAGTGGTGGCACTGGCATTTGCTTACACTCTCCTCTTTACTCTTTTCTATTAAAGAAGTAAGCTCTGGAATACTGTTGGGTTGGTTCCATTGTGTTTGAGGCTGAAGGATGAATTCTCAGAGAGTGCAGAAATGGGTTTCCCTTTGTTCAATTACTATCTATGAAGAATGTTTAGTAGACTAGAATGCATGGGCCCACTATACCATTGGACAAGTGTCCGTTCGTTTTTGGGTTGATTGGTGGGTCCTTGTAGCTTGACATCTGTAGTAGGCCCATCAATAAGCCCACCAGTTGAGATGGAAACTCTAGCAAGTAGCAACATGTGGACAAAAAAAGTTTCAAAACAGTTTGCCTTGTGAAACTCTACAAACACTAGAATGGAAGTCTAATTTTTGTATGGCCTTGTGGGTTGTTATTTGAATTCCCAGTTTATTTTTTTTTCCAAATTTTGTGACTTCTGTCTCCATGGACCAAGACAGAGTCTCTCTCTCTAGTAATCTAGCATCCCTAATCTCTGATGAATACGTGGCACAATCTAAAGGGATATATACACGTCTGTGGATAGATCAGAGCCATCCATATAAATGGTCCCCCCCTCCCACATGGGCACATGCCTGGCTGCGCCTAGAAAGTTAGAGAATGACAACAAAAGAGTGTTTGGGTGGTACTTTGTTGAAAGGGGGTAAAATCCAAGGCCAACAAGTCAACTGAAGGAGCGTTGTTTGTTGTAGTTCATATCTTCAGTGTTTTCTTGTCTAAATACTACTCTTTACACATCTTTTCTTGCTGCAGCTACACAAGTGTATTGTACCTCCGTGGATCCATTCACTCTGATCTGATTCCACATTGACTGGACCCCTCCATCATTGCTTATCATTTTAAAATTTGTATCAATCAATCATACAAACCCCAGTTCTCTGACATTTACGTTTTGGTCCCCCCAGGGGACCCACAAAGATATGCCCCACGTCACATCGCAACCTCCCACAGCTTCCTGCAATGGATATGCCGTTACGCTGCGTCACACTCTATCACCATCACGAAGTGCAATTAGTGTGAAAACGAAAACCGAAAAAACCCAAATATCTCGCGCTCCTAGATTCTGATCTAACAGTAGCAAAAGTGGAGCCCAACATATCTCGTACTCTCGGGTCCCACAGTCTGCATCGAATGGTGGTGTCGGCGGTTTACTCTCGGAACCTGTAACTTTTGCCGTCAGTCGCAGAGTTCTAATATTTTTCTTCACGTCCTCTGTGCATCTGTCCGTCTAATTCTATTCTCCTCGTTTTTACACTTACATCGCTGAAGCAAAATCATACACTAACTCTTCTTTGAGCAAAAGAAACTTTATGGACTGATAAAGGAAAGAAGGGAAAAAAAAGGATCAGAACAGATTTTTATTCGAGAGAAGAGAAAGAGAGAGTGAAAGAGAGATTTTTTCGCTGACATTTTCAGTTCAGACTTGGAAAGAAGAGATTTGAACCTTGGACGCGTTAGAAATCACACTTTTTTCTTTCATTCTGAGAAGGGTTAGTTTTTATTCGATCAAGCTTTCTATTTGTCTTGCTTGGCTGTTAGAATGGTAACTGTTGTGTTTTCCTTTCATCTCTGTATATATATATATATATTTTTTCGGAAATCAATCTATTATATTGAAAAAATCTAAAAACACCACCATTTTTTTCTCCTCTTTTGCTAATTTGGAAATCGTGTTCTCAGAGATCTGCTGTGCTCGAGAAGTGGAAATTTTCGAGTTTTAACATTACGTTTGAGAAAGACAACTAGGAGTTCAAGGCCATGTTCCACATTTCTGTGTAAGTGTGTCTTCAGATCTGAACTAGCTACAATGCTGCTGGTCTTGTTATTTTTGTTTCTTTTTGACCATTTTAGTTTACTTGGATGGTCTGTCTCTCGATTCAAAGCGCTTTTGCACTTAAATAGAACTTCATCAGATCTATAGCACAGTGTAGCTAAAGTTTTTGATGGTTTTGGCACCTATCTTCTCTCCCAATTTTAAGAGCTGCGTCCTTAAGGTTCTGGAGGGTCTTCGTATCAGAGTTCTCTAGTGTCACTTGATGTCTGTGTCTATCGGTAGAAATCGGGTTTATTGTTTTGAACTGTTGACCATATATATCCAACTTTCTTTGTGCATACCCGATATACATAATAAACATCCAGTTTTTTGAATATTCAGAAATTTTCTTCTATTTCTGATAATGCTGATTATATGGATTAAACTCCTTGGCTTCGTCTCTTTGTCTGTTTTGCTCATCAAGCAGAACTTTGACCTCCAGGTTTTCTTTTCTTTTTTATATTCCTCTCCCCTTTCTTTTCGAGAATTCTGGACTGTTAACTTTTTGTTATAGACAGAGTATTCAAGTTTGCTGATATTTTTCCATATTCGTTTCTTCCATTTTAGGAAACTCATTTACTAAAATGATCTTCTTAATTTCAGGCAGTGTTCCTCTGATCTAGAATGCATGGAAACTCACATTTTTTGATTGTGGGGGATCTTATGAAGATGGATATATGGAGCTTCGACAAGAAAGCTCCAAGTTCGGGGCATTGTCTGCCACAACTTCAAGGAATCTTTCATCTTCTTCTTCTGCGTTCATCTCTGCCTGCCAGTCACCCTTCTTTTCTCCAAGATCATCAACATGCCAAGTTTCAGACTTGAGCAAGCCTGATATTCCAAATTCCACAACTGTCATTCCCCATAGTTCGAGTACTGAGATTAAGAAACCTGAACCTTTGTCTGGCAGTAGATTTGCCTCCTCTGAGTTTCAGCCATGTCCAGTTGTATGCAATTCAAGCAATGTGCAGAAATTGACATTACGTGATCATGTTTCTTCCTCATCAGGAACTTTGTACAGCAACTCATCTAGTTACAACCAGGGCAATGACAATTGCAACAATTACTCCATACACTCAGAGAAACAGAAAAAGAAAGTGAGAATCCATAAGGCTTCATTCATTCGGGGTCCAGCTCCACTATCTTCTAATAGGTTGAGAAGTTGTGATGTTTACATAGGTTTTCATGGTCGCAAGCCTTCCCTGCTGAGATTTGCTAACTGGCTACGGGCAGAGTTGGAAGTTCAAGGGGTGAGTTGCTTTGCAGCAGACAGAGCTAGGTGTAGGAACTCTCGGAGCCATGAGATTGTTGAGACGGCAATTAATGCTTCAACTTTTGGGGTGGTGATCCTCACTAAGAAATCATTTGGGAATCCATATAGCATTGAGGAACTACGGCATTTTTTGGGTAAAAAGAACCTTGTTCCAATATTTTTTGATCTAGGTCCAAGTGACTGCCTTGCTAGAGACATAATTGAGAAGAGGGGTGACTTGTGGGAAAAGCATGGGGGTGAGCTATGGGTGTTGTATGGGGGGTTGGAGAGTGAGTGGAAGGAGGCTGTTAATGGCCTTACTCGAATTGATGATTGTAAATTGGAGGCTCAAGATGGTAACTGGAGGGATTGCATTTTGAGTGCAGTGGTTCTGTTGGCAACAAGACTAGGAAGGAGGAGTGTGGTGGAGAGAGTGAATGGGTGGAAGGATAGAGTGGAGAAAGAGGAATTCCCCTTCCCTCGAAATGATAATTTTGTTGGAAGGAAGAAAGAACTATCTGAACTAGAACTCATGCTCTTTGGTGATGTTAGTGGTGATGCAGAAAAGGAATATTTTGAACTCAAGACTCGACACAAGCGAAAGAATTTGGTGATTGATCGGGGTGAGAACAGTAGAGCAGAAGAAAGATTGAGGTACCGGCAGGCAGATGGTGGTAACAAGGGAAAGGAACCAGTAATATGGAAGGAGTCTGAGAAGGAGATTGAGATGCAAAGGATTGCAAGTCCTCAAAGGCAGTACCGACATCTTCGGGCTAAGAATAGTGGAAGGTATGGGAGGAAAAAGAAATCAAAGATTTTGTATGGGAAGGGAATTGCATGTGTGTCAGGGGATTCAGGTATTGGTAAGACAGAGCTTCTTTTGGAATTTGCATACAGATTTTCACAAAGGTATAAGATGGTTTTATGGGTAGGAGGGGAATCCATGTATGTTCGGCAGAATTATTTGAACCTCTGGTCTTTCTTAGAAGTTGATGTGGGGATTGAGAATCAATGTTCTGAGAAAAGAAGAGTAAAAAGTTTTGAAGAGCAGGAAGAAGTGGCTATTTCTAGAGTGAGGAAAGAGCTAATGCGGGACATACCATTTTTGGTGGTGATAGATAACTTGGAGAGTGAGAAGGATGGGTGGGATCAGAAAAATATAATGGATTTACTTCCTCGCTTTAGTGGAGAGACACACTTCCTGATATCCACTCGCCAGTCTCGAATATTGAATTTGGAGCCATTAAAACTATCTTACTTATCTGAGATGGAGGCATTGTCTTTAATGAAGGGAAGTCTAAGAGAATATCCAAGTGTAGAAATTGAGGCTCTTAAGGCCATTGAGATGAAACTTGGTAGACTAACATTGGGTCTTGGGATCATAGGAGCCATCCTTTCTGAGATCCCCATTAATCCTACTAGGCTTCTCGAGAGCATCAACAGAATACCCGTAAAAGACTTACCATGGAGTAGTAGGGAAGATCCCCTTTTGAGACGACACACTTTCCTTCTGCAACTTTTGGAAGTTTGTTTCTCAATATTTGATCATGCAGATGGACCAAGGAGTTTAGCAACTAAAATGGTTCAGGTAAGTGGCTGGTTTGCCCCTGCAGCAATTCCGGTTTCCTTAATGTCTCTAGCAGCACAAAAGGTACCAGAGAAGCACCAACATGCCCATTTCTGGAAGAAGTGCTTGCATGTCTTAACTTGTGGCTTAACATCAAAAAATACCAAGAAATCAGAAGCTGAAGCATCTTCTATGTTGTTAAGGTTTGGTATTGCAAGAAGTAGTACCAAGCCAGGGTGCATCCATTTTAATGAGCTCATCAAGGTCTATGGTCGCAATAGAGGAGTTGCCAGTGTTGCCAAAGCCATGGTTCAAGCAATTAGTAGCCGAGGGTCCATTTCCCAGCACCCAGAACATCTGTGGGCAGCATGCTTCTTATTATTTAGGTTCAAGACTGACCCTGTGGTTGTTGAGCTGAATGTATCAGAGTTGTTGTTCATCGTAAAACAGGTGGTTGTGCCTCTTGCAATACACACATTTATTAAATTCTCAAGGTGCAATGCAGCTTTGGAACTCCTTCGCCTATGCACTGATGCCTTGGAAGCTGCAGAGGAGCCTTTTCTTAAACCAGTTGAGAAATGGTTGGACAGATCACTTTGTTGGAAGTCAGTTCAGTCTAATGCACAGTTGCATCCTTACCTCTGGCATGAGTTAGCACTCTTGAGAGCTAGTGTGCTTGAAATAAGAGCTAAATTAATGCTCAAAGGGGGGCAATTTGACATAGCAGTTGATCTCATCAGGAAAGTTCTATTCATTAGAACTTCAATTTGTGGCGAGGATCACCCAGACACAATCTCTGCTCGTGAAACAGTAAGCAAAGTCACAAGGCGTCTCACAAATGTCCAAGTTAGTTGATTTTTTTAAATTGTCATCCTCGTTCATCTCTATTCTTTCTTGTAAGCAGAGCCACTTCATATTGCAATTACAGAAAGTCTGAAATAAATTTGCTTCACAATGCAATTTATGGAAAATTTTTCATTTAAAGCTCTAGCAGGATTTTCTCCATACATATCATTTATGGCCTCAAATTGTACAATTTTCTCCTGCCATTCTTTTTGTTTGACGATTCGAAATCAATTCCATACTTAATCATGGATTTATTTTATATTTGCATAATTTTTTGTGCACCATCTATGGCATGGATTTTCTCCCATGTTTGTTTATTGTAGCAATATTTTGGTCTGGTGGCAAAGAATTCCTAGAATGGCCTGGGGTCAAGTAACAGCCCCTTTTTCTAATTTTAGAGGATTGGAACCTACTATATAGTGGGTCTCATGTAGAAGATTAAGCGGGTAAAAAAGCTAGGGTTTTAACTTAAACAAGTTAATGCACACCATGTTCTTGGGGAGCTGGTGTTATTGATCCAAAAAAAAAATGCACACCATGTTCTTTTACTGTTATTATTTCAACAGTGGAAAGCATATATATTCAATTGAACTTTGAAAATAATGCAAAAATGAGATGGTTGGAGCCATCTGGTCATGCTGGTCTTTTTGAATGAGCAAAATCTTGGATAGAACCCATTTCTGGGTCCAGATCCTTTGAACATTAGGGAAGTGACAAGTTTATTTATATAATAAAATAACAAAGAAAATTTGTTAATATAAAACAGGTCACAATAAATGGTGTTCAGATAACACCCAATGAAAGGCCATCAAAAACATACAAAAATCAAACTGCACCATCCTAAACAACCTTCCAGACTCAAGACTCCCCATCTAGTATGGCTAATTGAATACAGGAAATTGGTGGGTCATATTGGATCAAGATAACAGACTGGAAGTGACAACTTGTAAGCATGATATTGGTTGCAGTGTAATATGTATTGGTCATTCTCCACCATCTGATGGGTCTTGCCTGGATTAGGTAAAAGCCATTCTAACCGTATGGTAGGAACCATCTGATTATTTTATCTCTTCTGTCAGAATTTTCTGGGGCCATGCACCAAGAGTGGAAGAACTGGTTGCCCGCTATTGTTTAAAGAGTTAATAATCAGTTAACCAGATCTGCTATCTGGGTATGGTGGGTCCTGTTCTCTTGCATTTTGAATAATCATGTGATTGTTGATCCTTGTAGAGACATGAGGTTTCCAAGAAAAAATATGTTCAGCAATATTGTAGCAAAAAAAAAAAAAAGATAATTGGCATGAAGATACTAGTTTTATTGCATTGGATAATGGAATCGCTTCACAAGAAAAGGAGAATGTTTGCAGTGTTATTGACAATATAATCAGTATGACCGTATGAGGATACTAGTTTTATCACATTGGTTGATGAAGTCACTTCACAAGTAAAGTTGGGAAATGAAAAGCTTCAAAATAGTTTGCCATCTAGAAAAAAGCCCTTCTTAATGAAGATGCTCATACTTAAGAAACACTTAAAATTGTACCAATCTGGTACTCATAGCCATTTTTCATGTGGTTCTATCATGGAATTATGCAATAGGTGTAGCTTGATTATGTATTGTGAGAGATTTTTATCAATTTCTTTCTGTCCTTTTGCTAAAAGCAGCTCTATTCTATATTGTTTTTTCTTGACCTTCTCTTTTTTGGATAAGCATGATAACTATATTCAACTCATGGTTAGAGAAAAGTGAAAAAAAAAACTATTTATAGCCGGTTATATTTTCTCAAGCCAATGAACAACTAGGACTTGGAGTATTCACCCATTTAGGTGGCATGCCAAAGATAAAGAGAAGATTTGCATGGGCCCTTGCAAGGATGGTATGCACAAAAGGAGAAGTGGTCTAAATTTTACCAATGAATTGGAGTCAGTTACAAAGTCATGGAGTTTGTGGATCTTAGAGTTATTATTTTCCCAACATAATATAGCTACAAAGGTTTGTAAATCATTACCCACTCCAACCTTTCTCAGGTTTAATAATAGAGAAGTACCAGCATTTTATTTTAACAGCATATATTTTATCACAATTTGATTCCATACAATGGCAGTGTTTCTACTTGTATCTTGTGTTTGAGCTTGAACTTTGTTTATTTTCATCACAAGCACTTATCAATGATTATCATAATATTCGGAAAAAAATAACAAAAGGAAAAAAAGATGATCCTTCTATTATCTTTCTTAATATTTGCTTGTATTCTTTTATATTGATTTTACCTGTCTTCTTTATAATTTTTATAGATATTTCTGACACTTATTGTTCTTGGTTCTTTGAAACTCCTTATTCAACTTTTTTTTTTTTTAACTCCTTATCCAACTTAAAAATTAGCTTATGGAATTGTTTTCTTCCTTAAGCATTAATATTACTATGGTCATTTTGAGAAAATAGTGGAAGTGTTGCTCTCCTCTCCCAGTCCTTCAAGAGGGAAGAGCCTCCCCCATCAAAGAGAGGAGAAGGAAGTGACTTTATATTTTGATGGAAGTGCTACTGGAAATCCGGGAATAGCAGGAATTGGTGGTGTGTTTAAGAGAAGGGACGGTCACCCTATGTGGGTCTTTAGTGGACCAATTGAGGGGTTGCAGATTCCACAATGGCAGAAATTTTAGCTGCTTTAATGGGGCTTCGTATCACGAGAGATCTATGCTTCACTGATCTAACAATCAAAGGAGACTCAGCAACATGATAAAGTGGTTAGGGGAGAGGGAAGGAGGTCCTTGGAGACTGGCCCACTATTTACATGAGGCTAGAAATCTGTTAAATTCCTTATCTGTAAACTGTTGCTTGATTCCTATGGAATTAAACTCTGTAGCTGATAGTTTGGCTAAATCTGGTATACACAGGGAATTAAACTCTGTAGCTGATAGTTTGGCTAAATCTGGCTCCCATGTCTACTGCTCTTAGTCCAGCTTGGACTCTACCATATTCGGGTTTCATCAAATTGAACTTTGATGGTAGCAGTGAAGGAAATCCAGGCCCTTCAGGCATAGGGGGTATTTTTAGGGATGAAGAAGGTTGAATTATTGCTATGTTCTCAGGACCTATAGGTTGGGGGGATTCACTGAGAGCTGAAATTTTGGCAGCTCTAGAAGGGTTTAAAAGAGCTAAGCAGTTGAAGATAAGTAATTTGCTGGTGGAAGGTGACTCTCAGCTGACTGTTAGATGTTTGCAGAAGGAAGAGTCCAGCCCGTGGAAGTTTTCAAATGCAAAAAAGAAAATTAATCAGTTAACTCAAAACATGCATATAAGGGTTCAATGGGCCAAGAGGAGTGCTAACTCTATGGCGGACACTTTGGCTAAACAGGGGATGGGAAGAGCAAATTTCTTTTGGGCTCTCTTGTAATCTGTTTTTACAGTTGTGATAGGGAGGGTTAAGATCTTTTACCCCTCCATTCCTGTTGTAATTTTCCATCTTTATTCTTAATAAAAGTTACTGTTATTGATCAAAAAAAAAAAAAAAGAAATATGCCTTTGTAACCTGTGTGTCCTGATTGTACATCATCTCATGTACTCTGTGTTTTCTCAATCAAGTTAACCTCTTTTCTCAACATTTTGAGAAAATATGGTCCCTGGATAAATTGTCATCCTTCCAGCTAATTTTTAGCATATAATTTGTCAATAAAGCTCACCAATTATAGCACCTATTGAATCTAATCTTGTCAAATAGAGGAAAGAATCTGTAGAAGTTATTGGTTTATCCAAGATCTTGAATCTCAGTTTCCAATTCTCAGGGGCCTCTTTTTTGGCTTTACCATTGGATTTTTTTCCTAATCAAGTGTCTTAGTTTTTTTTTTCTTCTTTCTTTCTTTCTTTATACTCATTGATTCAGTTGATCTTCCACCGTGGTTATCTTCACTGTCAATTTCAAGTCAGATGTTGATATTGTAAGTATGCTTTCCAATCTTCATAGAATCAGGATGACCATCATATGTCTCACTGTTTATCTGGTGGCTGTTCTGGATTTCAAATTTTCTTATAATTTTCAATATCAGTAGTGTTTTTTTTTTTGAAATCCCTATTGTGAAATATAAATATTTGATTCTTCAGATCATATAAGCATTAGATGCAAAGTGGACAGGATGTTCAGACTGGATAGATGCAAGCTACTGGGCCTCCAAACAGTTTGTTATGATCACAAACTTCAATTAAAATGCATAGCTGTTGAATCACATGTCAACTCAGCTTGTTAGTGTTATGGACGCATTCCTCGGAAAGACGTACCATCGCCGCCGGCAGCAACATGAACCTGACCCACCGCCAGATTAGATTAGATCATCTTGCTTGTTCTTATCTTATTCTATTGCTCTTATCTTATCTTGTTAGTAAGTTATCAGATTAGGATTAGTTTATCTTGTTATCAGATTAGGATTAGTTTATCTCGTTATCAGATTAGGATTAGCTTATCTTATCCTTAGCAAGATAGAATTGGAANCTAAGATTAGGACTCTTGTAATCTCCTATTTAAGGAGACACCATTATTGAATGAGGATATCGAATATTCAGTCAAGAAAGAGAGTAAAGGAGAGTTAGGTGATCTCTTGAACAAATCACCATTAGGGCGCCTAGATAGGTCCATCAAGAGCAGGGAGGAACAAGGGAAAACAGAGGGTTTTCCCTGTGGACCGACCCGTGACGAGATCCTATTCCTGGGCCCATAACAGTTAGACTACCGAATGGAACCCCAAATTAGACTGAATATTTTATATATTCAGCTGATATCATCTGTTGACCTGAGTGTGTGCATTTGTCCAACTGTATTAGACTGACTTGTCCAACTGATCAAATCAACATATGATTAGGTTTTAAAGTATATGAAATATACATCAATCAAATATCATATTTCCATGTTTTCTCCGAAACCAACTATATATTCAGTTGTATTTATCATATTTCCATCTTTGTAATATTGGCATATTGCAAAGATACCCCATGTCTATTACCTATTTTTCTCGATATACTTGTAATATTATCATATTATAATGTCCAAATTTGTCAGTTTAACAAATAAGTAGGTTTACTGTCAAATTACAGGTTAAAAGTATAGCCAACAATTATAATCCACTCCTATTGGGTCTGACTCAATAGTCCCAATTATAGACCCTACCCTATTGGGTCTGGTTAAGATCTGGTTCTACATTTACTTATCAGGTTGGAACTGGGTCTACCCTAACCTGGGCCATACCCAGCCCATTGACAGCACCATGCTCATGATTCACAATGTCTGCAGGATAAGAGTGTGCTACCCATGATATGCTTGTGAGATGTCAGTCCACCTCTTCCAGATGCTACAAATACTTATTTAAAAGGTTCAAGTAATGCAATAGTTTCTCACCGCTTCCATGTTCCTACACATTTTGTATTGTTATTTGGAAAACTCTGCAGCAGTATTACAAGCATATGGTCAGGATATCGTCAGTTGGTTTTCTAAACCTATCTAAGAGGTATGATCCAGTGTTAATCATTCCTTATTTACTGCTTCACGTAGATTTCCACATATCCATTTTTGTTTGAAGACCATGTTCATGCATCACAGTCCTATCCCATTGCACGAATATCTGTAACAAGATTTGTGTTGTAAGATTTAGGTCCACCTTAAGCATTGGATGTTTCTCCCAAAGTTCTTCCTGGAAGTTATATTTATTGATCCATTACATGTAATGCCTGGATTACTGTTAAACTTTCCAATTCTTAGCACTCATGCTGCTGTGTGACAGTGAACATGATTATCAGTTTCTACATAATCCTCTTCTTTTAAGAACTTTTTGGGCTACTTCATGAGAATTCTATCTCACCAGTTAACATTTCTTTTCACGTTTAATCAGTTGTTGATTGCAAGCGGCCAAATAGACACTTTAGTTGCTGCAACACCAGATCTTTTCTTTAACAGAACTGTTAGGGGTTTACAGAATTTCTCAAATGTGGAACAGAGCCATCTTTCGCAGAAAAATATGATGGTGAAATCGACAAATGAGCAGGCAAGTTAATACTTTTGTGCATGTAACAAATTATAAACTATTTCTATCTGTAGTATACAGAATCACAGATGCCAATCTCCTTTCTTGACATCTTGACAACAGATATTCAGTGATATAAAGTTCTTCATGAGAGTAGGTTTTGACAATATGAATCCTATGTTAATGGAAATAAGTCCTTGATAATGCTGGAAATAAGACTGATAATCATTGTTATAATCTATCTTATCTCATTGAAGTCAGTGGCAGTACCTATCCCATTCTTCTGTTCTGTTCATACCACCCTCAATAGCGCTACTTTGATTAAAATACAATTTATAAAATGGAATTAAAGCAACCATGTTCAGGATCATGAAAAACAAAAGAAAGGCACTGAACTTGAATCACAAGAAAACGGAAGTGTTTGTGATAATGCAAAACTAATATACCTACACAAAAATAATGAGAAACAACAGATATTTTTTACCATAATGAATGGCTATGTCAAATGCATAAAAATACTAATATGAGAGACCGGATTAATATAAATATATTTACCAAAAAAAGAATATAAATTAAACTTGCCCACACAAAGGACTTTTTTTGGCATTACTCAATGCCTAACACTAGGGGTCATTACTTTTTAAGTAAAAAGTACAACATCACATCAACAACTTCAAGTAATCACACAATTCTTTTTCTTACAAAGATGATAATAGCAAGATTCGAAACCACACCACCACTGGACAATTCATCCAGTGTACCAACTGGCTACCCCTCAATTGGCCACAAAGGACTTTTAGATAAAGCCTAAGCTGTCAAAGTGTGTAAAACAGATTTTTTTTTTTTTTTTTGAGAAAAAGTTAACTGATTATATTAAAAAAGAAGACAGGTACATGAGGAAATGTACATGCTACAGCTGAACCAACAAGAGGAAATTACAGGGGCAGATTTCTTTCACTGTACATGACTTCCCTAAGGGTACCCGATTTAGCTAAACTATCAGCTGTAGTAAAACAGAATTTAAACAACGCAACTACAAAAAAAGCACCATAAAATAACAGAGGGATCAATTATCCTGTAACTTAACAATCAAGATGACTAGGCCATACCTGTAAAGCGATGCAATGGAGTTGTTGCACTTGTGTTACTGTTTTGAACTTGGATTGTTGTGTAAATGGATTTGGGAGCCAAGTGTTGAAGGCATTTTTTAATCCAAATAATATTTAATAATTTAATAACACAAATAAGTGGGTTCGCTAGTCTGCTAGCCAAATCATCAAAACTATAAAAAAGTATCCTGAATGGGAGTTCCCTCACTTTAAGTGGGAGGGACAGGTGTCCTTCACCTAGGAGGAGGAGGTTATTACATAATTACCCCACTCCCTATTTAAGCTCTTTAAGGGGAAGCTAGAGACACTTACACTCTTCCGAGAAAAATCTCTCAAGAGATTCTAAAGAAAAGCTAAGATAAAGAGAGAAGAAAAGAGAAGTGCTCAAGGGAAAACAAGGAAGGAAAAGTCTCACTAATATAGGTAGAAAAAGGAAAGTCCTCTTTGTGAATACTTCCTATATATGTCTTCTATGTATCCTTTTTTCTCTCTTTTATTTTCACTTTTGAGAAAGGAAATAGGGGGAATAGGGCTGTTCACAAAATATTGTTAACCAGTCAAACCAACCAAACCAAACTGATTTGACGCGATATGGTCGGTTTCTAAAATGATTCGGTTGGTCTCGGTTTAGAACATGACAAAAACCGATTATGCGGTTCGGATGCGGTTATCCTTTTTGTAATCCGATGTGAAACCGATCCAAACCACTAGACATATATGAGTTATGACCTTCATACTGTTACGTGCTTTTGTCTTTTTTTCTTTTCATTTCACAATTGTTGTTGTCCTAGTTTGTCTTTTCAGCCATGTCTCTCTATAAAAAGTAAAAAAGTTAATTGACAAAATTTTTGAGATGAGGAGACAACATAATTAATGAAGGGGAATCTATAGTGTGGTGTTTTAAGAATGAAATTAAAAAATTCAATTGCCTAACAAGAAGCTTGATAGTGAGAATACAATGGTGGGGAGATCAACAAACTCTATGGCTGATGGTCTTGCAAAGCAAGGGGTAAATAGGGAAAGTTTGTATTGGGCTCAATTGTAGACTGAATCTGTTTTCTATCTTTTGTCTTTCTTCCTACTGTTAGGAGAGGACACAGCTTGTGCCTCTCCACGGGAAGCTTGTAACTGCACTAGTTTTTATTAATGAAATTTATCCTTCTTATTTATAAAAAAAAAGACAACATAATTAATGAAGCTTGACACTATAACAACTGGTGGATTGCAATTGTAGGAGCATAGGTAGATGGGCAGATTGACATTTTATGTTATAGAAGCATTATTTCAGTTCAGTTTCATTAAAACCGATTAAACCGATGTAAAACAAAATGAAAATGAGGTCGGTTTTTACTGTTTGGTAGGTTTCGGTTGGTCTTAAACCCAACCCGATTATTTTGGTTCAGCTGACAAAACTAAATGCAACCGAACCAAACTGACCCATGAACAGCCCTAGGGGGAAATAAGCCATCTACAACCAGGTACTTCTACTTGGTTGATTATGGTCCCTCTTTCAAGACAAAGTTAGAGATTAACTATCTATAGTCTAATTTTGAAGGGCTGATTATGGTTCCCTTCAAATGAAAATGAAGAACAGATGGATAAAAATCGTCTACAATCAAATATTTAGTTTGATTGACTACGGTTCCCTTTTTGTATGCAAAAATCCAAGGATTAAGGTTGTCTACAGTTAGAATTTCATCTAATTGATTACAACTTATTGTGAAGAAAGGAGTGAGAAGGAAATTTTCTTTGTATCAAAAAGAAAAGAGAGAAATGTATTGTTGTATAGATTCTCAATTGTATTTTCTTTTTCTTTCTTCTCATTATTGTACACTTGATGTAAAAGAAACACAAATGAAAAGTTATTTATAAGTACCCTATTGTTCTTTTCTTTTGTTCTATGCATTCATTTCTCCAAGTCAGAATCAAAAGATGTTTTCTACTTTCTTGTGGAGATATAGTTAAGGGGAACAATCTGTATGATTCCCTCAATGGGCCTTACCCAAAATAATAAAAACTCAATCACTTGATTGAGTGAATTATGTTGCATGAGAATTTATTAAAATTTTCATACCAACACCAAGTCCCCTCCATTTTCAAATCCTGCAATGGAGCATAGTCATCTGATGATTTGAGTTCCCATTAATTGGCTAGAGCAGAACTTAGTCATAATTCCAAAACTGCAGTCAATTTGGATTTGGCACGCGAGTCACTAACAATCTCATATGATATTGATATAGTTTGAGTCCAGGGCTCCTCCGAAGGAGATATTCCAATTGAAGGGGGAAATAGGTCATTGGTTGCACCCGTTGAGAAGTAGGTTTTCAAATTTGAATAAAATAATTTGAAACACTTACCGCTAATTGCACCTTTTAGACATGAGAACTAGGAATTTTGTTGGGGCACGCCAATCACATGATAATTGATTAACTGTCTGTATTCTGTACTCCACCGCTGGTTTGTGTGCTCATTAATAAGATACAATCAAGCTTGGCATGAGGAAATCAATCTCTGGTTTTGGGTTTGCAGAAGGGCCTGGTTCAATAGCTTTATCCATATCTACCCCCTACAGCAACCCACTTCCAATCAACTTAAAAAGTAGTTTTTCTTCAACAGTAAAGGAGCAGAAGAGAAAGGGTCACTGAAGTGAAAGGTGAAATGCCTCTCAGGATATATTCTGGAAACTGGAATATCTGAAAAAGGGGAACATGCTGGAATAAGCTTTGGCACATCTCGGAGAACCTACAATTATCAATCTTCTTCCTCGTGATACAACCAAAAAAAGAAAAAAGAGAAAACAGAAACAAAATTTTAAAATATTTTGACTTGAAGATATATTTTCTGTAAGAAAAGAAAAAAAGAAGTCTGTTTGAGAGAAAGAGTACTCAATTCCCTAGGTGTTTGGGATGTGAGGATGGTAATGATTCTAATGAATCTATTCTCCATGCCCTTGTGTGCTGCAATAAAGCCAGATGCACCTGGTTTGGGTCTGGCCTCGGGTTAAGAGCTAACTTGGTGGATCATAGGTCTGACTTTGGCAGCTGGTTTTTTGCTTCTTTGTGTGTTAATGGCTCTCGTGATATTAATGTTGCTGCGAAAATGACATTTATTATGGGTAATTTGGAAAGTCAAGAATACCAATTATTTTGAAGATTCTGATGTTAATCCTTTTCATGTTATTGGTTCCTATAACATGTTGATAGCTGAGATTATCTCTGAACTCACTTCAGAAATCGGCAAACTCTTCCAAGGCTGAAAGAAAAGCAGGTTCTTCCTCTTTTTGGTCTCTGATGGACTTGGGTGTGTTAAAGGTCAATGTGGATGACAGTTTCTCTAGTCCAAATAAAGCAGCTTTCGTACAATGTGGATGTGGACCATAGTTAAGTTTTCCTCTGTTTTTTTTTTTTTTTTAAGTGTTCTTATAAGTTTTCTTTCATAGGTTGTTGTTGAATCCTTTCTTTTTGTGCTTGTAGTTAGTTGTTCCTGGTGTTGTTTTAATGAAATTACAGGTTTACCAAAAAAAGAAGTCTCAAATGGGATCTTGCTGATAATGAATAAAATACACAGTCGAACTCAGTGATGAGCAGAGAATTGGCAGCATTAGATTTTTCTGTCTGTAACTGCTTTCACTTGAATGATCTTTAGCTGTACTTATCAAAATGAAAGTTGAAGAGTAATCCTAACTTGAGGCCCAGACAAATCGAAATTTTGTATCTGTTTGGGTAATGAATAATGACCTACAAACGACCTCCCATCCCTGGAAGAGAAGAATAAAATAGGCTATTCTCCAATGGAACCATGCGTATATGCTCTGTTCATATTTCATAGAAAAAACTTTGTAGGTTATTTTTTTTTCACACAATACAAGCAATATCTTCTTTATCCCTTTCAAACCAGCTCCAGACCCTATTTGAGTATTGGACTAACCCCATAACTAATATATCATTATCATCATCTTTATTAATTGGGTAAATTACAAATACCCCCTTGTACTGGGGTCAGTGACAAAGACTCCCTATACATTAATTTGCGACGAAGACCCCCTGAAAATTAGCCATTAGATAAAGACCCCCCTCTAGCGTTTCATCAATTAACTTCAAAAAAGGTTCTCGTCAGACTGTTTGAAGTTTTATAAATGCCCAAATTATCAT